GTGTTAACTGTAATACTGCCTCTTGTTATTAACTGTAATTACTCTCTCTTGTGTTAACTGTATTACTGTCTCTTGTGTGCTTTGTATTACTGTCTCTTGTGGTAGCTGTATTACTCTCTTGTGTTAACTGTGTGTGCACTGTCTCTTGTGTTAACTGTAGTACTCTCTTGTGTTAACTGTATTGCACAATGCTCTTGTGTTAGCTGTATTACTGTCTCTTGTGTTAACTGTATGCACACTCTTGTGGTAGCTGTATTACTCTCTTGTGTTAGCTGTATTACTGCCTCTTGTGTTAACTGTATTGCTCTTGTGTTAACTGTATTACTGTCTCTTGTATTAGCTGTAATACCTCTTGTATTAACTGTAATACTGTCTCTTGTGTTAACTCTATTACTGCCTCTTGTGTTAACTGTATTACTCTCTTGTGTTAACTGTATTACTGCCTCTTGTGTTAACTGTATTACTGTCTCTTGTGTTAACGCTGTATTCCTGTCTCTTGTGTTAGCTGTAATACTGTCTCTTGTATTAACACAGTAATGCTGCCTCTTGTATTAACTGTATTACTGTCTCTTGTGTTAACTGTGTGCTGTCTCTTGTGTTAACTGTAATACTGTTTCTTGTGTGTTAGCTGTATTACTGTCTCTTGTGTTAGCTGTTACTGTCTCTTGTGTTAGCTGTATTACTGTCTCTTGTGTTGGCTGTATTACTGTCTCTTGTGTTAACTGTGTTACTCTCTTGTGTTAACTGTATTACTGTCTCTTGTGTTAACTGTATTACTGTCTCTTGTGTTAACTGTGTTACTTTTGTCTCTTGTGTTAACTGTATTACTCTCTTGTGTTAACTGTGTTACTGTCTCTTGTGTTAGCTGTATGCTGCCTCTTGTAACTGTATTACTCTCTTGTGTTAACTGTGTTACTGTCTCTTGTGTTAACTGTATTGTCTCTTGTGTTAACTGTATTACTCTCTTGTGTTAACTGTATTTACTCTCTTGTGTTAACTGTGTACTGTCTTGTGTTAACTGTATTACTGCCTCTTGTATTAACTGTGTACTGTCTCTTGTGTTAGCTGTATTGCTCTCTTGTGGTAGCTGTGTGCACCTCTTTGTGATTAACTGTACTCTCTTGTGTTAGCTGTATTACTCTCTTGTGTTAACTGTATTACTCTCTTGTGTTAACTGTATTACTGTCTCTTGTGTTGTACTGTATTACTGTCTCTTGTGTTAACTGTATTACTGTCTCTTGTGTTAGCTTGTATTACTGTCTCTTGTGTTAACTGTATTACTGTCTCTTGTGTTGCTGTATTACTGCCTCTTGTATTAGCTGTATTACTGTCTCTTGTGTTAACTGTATTACTCTCTTGGTAGCTGTATTACTGCCTCTTGTGTTAACTGTATTACTCTCTTGTGTTAACTGTATTACTCTCTTGTGTTAGCATATTACTTTCTCTTGTGTGTTAACTGTATTACTGCCTCTTGTTAACTGTGTGCAATGTCTTGTGTGTTAACTGTGTGCTGCCTCTTGTGTTAACTGTATTGCTCTCTTGTGTTAACTGTGTGCTGCCTCTTGTGTTAACTGTATTACTCTCTTGTGTTAGCTGTATTACTGTCTCTTGTATTAACTGTAATACTGTCTCTTGTGTCTTCATGTGCTGTCTCTTGTGTTAACTGTATTACTGCCTCTTGTGTTAACTGTATTACTCTCTTGTGCAACTGTATTACTGCCTCTTGTGTTAACTGTATTACTGTCTCTTGTGTTAACTGTATTACTGTCTCTTGTGTTAGCTTTGTAATACTGTCTCTCTTGTATTAACTGTATGCTGCCTCTTGTGATGGCACAATTACTTTGATATGGCGGTGGCACATTTCGCGATATATTTGTGTTGGCACTGTAATACTGTTTTGCTGTGTGCTGTATTAATGTCTCTTGTATTAGCTGTATTACTTTGTCTCTTGTGTTAACTGTATTACTGTCTCTTGTGTTAACTGTATTACTGTCTTGTGTTAGCTGTATTACTCTCTTGTGTTAACTGTATTACTGTCTCTTGTGTTAACTGTATTACTGTGTCTTGTGTGCTGTATTGTCTCTTGTGTTAGCACAATACATTACTCTCTTGTGTTAACTGTATTACTGTCTCTTTGTGTTGGCTTTGTAATACTGCCTCTTGTGTTAACTGTATTACTCTCTTGTGTTAACTGTATTACTGCCTCTTGTGGTATCACATGTGCACAATGCTCTTGTGTTAACTGTATTACTCTCTTGTGTTAACTGTATTACTCTCTTGTGTTAGCTTTGTATTACTGTCTCTTGTGTTAGCTGTGTGTGCACACTCTTGTATTGCTTTGTGTTACTGTCTCTTGTGGCACAGCCATTACTCTCTTGTGTTAACTGTATTATTACTGCCTCTTGTGTTAACTGTATTACTCTCTTGTGTTAACTGTATTACTCTCTTGTGTTAACTGTATTACTCTCTTGTGTTAACTGTATTACTGTCTCTTGTGTTACCTGTATTACTGTCTCTTGTGTTAACTGTATTACTGTCTCTTGTGTTAACTGTATTACTGTCTCTTGTGTTAACTGTATTACTGTCTCTTGTGTTAACTGTATTACTGCCTCTTGTATTAACTGTATTACTGTCTCTTGTGTTAACTGTATTACTCTCTTGTGTTAACTGTATTACTGCCTCTTGTGTTAACTGTATTACTCTCTTGTGTTAACTGTATTACTCTCTTGTGTTAACTGTATTACTGTCTCTTGTGTTAACTGTAATAATGTCTCTTGTATTAACTGTAATACTGTCTCTTGTATTAACTGTAATACTGCCTCTTGTGTTAACTGTATTACTGTCTCTTGTGTTAACTGTATTACTGCCTCTTGTGTTAACTGTATTACTCTCTTGTGTTAACTGTATTACTGTCTCTTGTGTTAACTGTAATAATGTCTCTTGTATTAACTGTAATACTGTCTCTTGTATTAACTGTAATACTGCCTCTTGTATTAACTGTATTACTGTCTCTTGTGTTAACTGTATTACTGTCTCTTGTGTTAACTGTAATACTGCCTCTTGTATTAACTGTATTACTGTCTCTTGTGTTAACTGTATTACTGTCTCTTGCGTTAACTGTATTACTCTCTCTTGTATTAACTGTTTTACTGCCTCTTGTGTTAACTGTATTACTGTCTCTTGTATTAACTATTACTGCCTCTTGTATTAACTGTATTATTGCCTCTTGTGTTAACTGTATTACTGCCTCTTGTGTTAACTGTATTACTGCCTCTTGTATTAACTGTATTACTGTCTCTTGTGTTAACTGTATTACTCTCTTGTATTAACTGTATTACTGCCTCTTGTATTAACTGTATTATTGTCTCTCGTGTTAACTGTATTACTCTCTTTTGTATTAACTGTATTACTGTCTCTTGTATTAACTGTATTACTGTCTCTTGTGTTAACTGTATTACTGCCTCTTGTATTAACTGTATTACTGCCTCTTGTATTAACTATTACTGCCTCTTGTATTAACTGTATTATTGCCTCTTGTGTTAACTGTATTACTGCCTCTTGTATTAACTGTATTATTGCCTCTTGTGTTAACTGTATTACTGCCTATTGTTTTAACTGTATTACTGCCTCTTGTATTAACTGTATTACTGCCTATTGTTTTAACTGTATTATTGCCTCTTGTGTTAACTGTATTACTGCCTCTTGTGTTAACTGTATTACTGCCTCTTGTGTTAACTGTATTACTGTCTCTTGTGTTAACTGTATTACTGTCTCTTGTGTTAACTGTATTACTGTCTCTTGTGTTAACTGTATTACTGCCTCTTGTGTTAACTGTAATACTGTCTCTTGTGTAAACTGTATTACTGCCTCTTGTATTAACTATTACTGCCTCTTGTATTAACTGTATTATTGCCTCTTGTGTTAACTGTATTACTGCCTCTTGTGTTAACTGTATTACTGCCTCTTGTATTAACTGTATTATTGCCTCTTGTGTTAACTGTATTACTGCCTCTTGTATTAACTGTATTACTGCCTCTTGTATTAACTGTATTACTGCCTCTTGTGTTACCTGTATTACTGCCTCTTGTTTTAACTGTATTATTGCCTCTTGTATTAACTGTATTACTGCCTCTTGTGTTAACTGTATTACTGCCTCTTGTTTTAACTGTATTATTGCCTCTTGTATTAACTGTATTACTGCCTCTTGTATTAACTGTATTACTGCCTCTTGTGTTAACTGTATTACTGCCTCTTGTATTAACTGTATTACTGCCTCTTGTGTTAACTGTATTACTGCCTCTTGTTTTAACTGTATTATTGCCTCTTGTGTTAACTGTATTACTGCCTCTTGTGTTAACTGTATTACTGCCTCTTGTATTAACTGTATTACTGCCTCTTGTGTTAACTGTATTACTGCCTCTTGTATTAACTGTATTATTGCCTCTTGTGTTAACTGTATTACTGCCTCTTGTGTTAACTGTATTACTGCCTCTTGTGTTAACTGTATTACTGCCTCCTGTATTAACTGTATTACTGCCTCTTGTATTAACTATTACTGCCTCTTGTATTAACTGTATTACTGCCTCTTGTATTAACTATTGCTGCCTCTTGTATTAACTGTGCTACAGTTTATTGTATGAACCATTTTCGTAAAAATCTTGAAAATTTTTAGATGAGAGAGAGAGAGAGAGAGAGAGAGAGAGAGAGAGAGAGAGAGAGATAACTATGACTTGTTATTATTACTGAGAGAGAGAAAGAGAGAGAGACTTCACATGTACATGACGTTATTAAGAGGTAAACCACTACGAACACACGCATAATATACTGTGCCTTCTCTAACCCTCGCTGGGCATATTGTCTACTCATCCTAATTATTATTACAAATATTCATAATATAGCACCGTCCCTCTCCTAACACACACACACACAGTCGTAACAATACTCATCACACAACTTTTATCATGAGCGAGTACAGTTGTCCTTCCTACAGTAGTTCTCTCCTGTGTTCAACCTCCCTCCCTCCGTCTCCAACACCCCTCAGGCCCGCACCACACTGTCATCTCCCGTTGCTGTGTAAATGTCTACAGTACATGCTTGTCTGAATGACATTAACCACGTTTCCTGTTTCGTAAGTGGATCAAAAAGACAAGTTAGTGATTCAACAAAGCCGTGTTGAGAACTGCGATGTGATGCCGGCTGAATATGCGGTTGTGACGTTTTAAAAAATATCCTCGTCACTTTCCTAATTCCTGCAGATATGAGGACATTCGTTGTTTTCATATTTAAAGACTTTGCTCTCCTGTAAAAGACTCTGTGACCCAAGGAAATACTGTTTGTGAGTGCTGTCAATACTGAGACGGTGTAACTTAAGGACGCTCGTTGTCCTCCATGCACGATGACTCTGCCACGTCTACTGTCGGTACTCGTTATTGTGATTGGTGAGTCATGTATGCATTTTTGTACCTTAAATTCTGGATATATTTTATGCACATGTTTCTTTGTAAGTGTGCGCCATATGACCGCGGCTATTGCGGCGCTAAGATACTATTCATTCGTTCTTTGTGTGTCTGTGTTTATAAAGCGTGTTTTTTTTATTTTGAGTAATCCACAAAATTTGCTATTGCACAACCTTACCAATACATGATAAAGGAATTTGATAGTCACCACTGAAGTAGTGTGTGTGTGTGTGTGTGTGTGTGTGTGTGTGATAATAATAATAATTAATGGTTTATTGAAAAGGTTATGCAGCCCGAAGGCTGAAAATCTACATAAATGACTTATTACATGCATTGACACGGGGGAGTTAACAAAGTCTTAATTAGAGAAAGGTGTTATGAGGGGCCTCACTTGACGCTGTTGTGTGTATGTGTGAGCGCGTGCATTTACCTGTCTTTCTGTCTACTCTTCTGACTGCATGTGTTTGCACCTATGTTTGCATCTCTATACCTAACTGACTGCCTCACTCAATCACTGGCAGAGAAAATTTAATTATTTTCTGTGACAAAGCTTCCATAACCTGTTGGGTCAATTTACGATGAAGTTCAAAAGTGTAAATGAATTCTTAAACTTCAGATGATAATACAATCCTGATCATCGTGGTGATTTTTTTTCCAGGTCCTAACTATGTCGGCCCCCAGCCACCGCCGCCTCCCCCTGGTAAGACCTGTTCGTACTTCTTTTGTTTCTAGTTCGACAAAATATATATTAATTGGTTTTGGTGTTGCCTCCCGTAAATGACTTGGCTTTGTACGGGTTAGGTTAGGTTAAAATACCTAATTGTGACACTGCTCTTTAAGGGGTTAGTGAGTAGCCTTAACAACTTAATGTAAAGACAGTCTAAAAAAAATAGAAATCGCAAAATAACAGAAATTTAATCGATAGATTTCCATTTGAGGCTGGTATAGTGTTAATCGTGAATCACCATTAACTCCGATTAACGATGATGTTAACGGTTAGCCCATTAACGATGGTGTAACAATTTCATGAGTTTCCCGCCACTTGAGAATTCCCGCCAATTTTAAGCCAATAGAATGAAGGCCTTAGGCTTGTCTCCGACCAATGAGAAAGCCTATGAGGCGTGACGTCATGAAAGTTTTGGCGTCCCTTGTGGGCTCACCGGAGTCTGCATTTGGTAAGTGTGGTTGTGTCCTGGATGTCACCTCATATGGCGGCTATAACGTGAGTACCTATTTAGGTTTGATCCGTTTCCCGAAATGTATTGAGAGTAATGGACCCCTTGGTTAGCAAGCTAGGAATTTAGGTTTATTGTTTTGAAGTGCAACTGTTCAATTTGAGTAATGTTAATAAATGAAGAACCATTATGATTAGTTCTCAATTCCCTTGTGTAGACTAAAACATTGTCATGCATGTCTTTGGTATTATTCAGTTATACGGTGAGTCCTATATATATAATAACTATCCTATATTTCCCTTCTGTGAAGCATTGATATCTTAGTCCCTCTAACCATTTTCCCTGAGTCTCTCCTTGGTGTAGGCCTTTCTAGCCTAACCACAAACTGTTAGTCCTGTACTCCCCCTCTCCCCAATCGTAAACACTTACCTCCCTCATCCCTCTCCACCTCTCACGAGTATAACGAGAAAGAAGAATAAGTATATAAAAAAATAAGAAAATAAATAAATAAATAAATAAATAAATAAATATATATATATATATATATATATATATATATATATATATATATATATATATATATATATATATATATATATATATATATATATATATATATATATATACTGTATATATATAATCTTTGTTACAATGGTGTAACTTAACCCATTAACGATGGTGTTAACTGTTAACTCATTAACAGTGGTGTTAACTATTAGCTCATTAACGATGGTGTTACTTTAAAAGTGATTAACAGTGAACACATAAGCGCGTGTCTTCCTCCACAGTTAAGTGCCCAGACGGATGGTCTTATTGGAACAACCACTGCTACTATTTATCAACTCAGTACACAGACTGGGACTCTGCCCAAGGATGGTGTAAGGAAAACTTTGGCAGTCAACTCGTCTCCATAACCAATAAAGACGAGAACATCTTTATTAGTGGTGAGTTAAGTCAGCGTCACATTACGTCGATTTACTTATAAATCTTTCTCTTCTTGCTACGTGATAAATCACCTTCTCTGTTAACTTTGATTGGTAAAGTTACCTTTCTTTTAACTAACTGGTATGGTACCAAATATGAATTATAAATTGTTCTTGTCAAATTAAGTATTTTACGTAATGTTTCGTGTAATGAATTTTAGAATTTGTATTTGGTATTGTTTATATAGGGCAAATATGTGTGTTGTTTATTGTAATACTGTATTGTGTATTTTAGATATTATTGCATGAAAAGTAATGTATGTTAGCTATTGTTGCATGTAGAGTAATGTATGCTAGCTATTGTTGCATGTAAAGTAATTATGTTAGCTATTGTTGCATGTAGAGTAATGTATTAGCTTGTAGTGGATTCTCCCCTACAAACGCTTGTCACTGACAGCTGACCTCATGAATTCCGCAGTGTATGTCTTCAGGTCTAGGTCAACCAGTTCCGTTTTACATGACGGAGGTCAACTATTGCCACGCCTACCTGTTGAGACATAAGACCTGGACCTTTGTGGTGACTTCCAGCCTTTCTGACCTACACCAAATCCAACAAGCAACACTCTCCCTCCTCCTGCCTGGCGGCCCTCGCTCCCGCCGGCGAGCATGGTGACCCTGCTGGTCCTCCTCTGAGCACCCTCACCAACCAGCTCTCTCTACTCAATGCTTGTAACCATGCTGCCTTCCCAGCACCAAGCTGCATTGTACATCCAATACAACATGTATACAGAGCACATTGTGAGTTTCCTTTCTCCATCCCATCCTGAGTGTGAACCAACATCACGTACCCCACAAATGGTGACCCCCTGAGATTCGCACTCACACAGGATGGAGGAGAAACTGATTCACTCCCCCAGTCTTCAAGCAACATGGAAGACTGGCTTATCCACACAGAGGCAGCTCTCATCAGCTCTACAGCTACTGTCTCTACACCGCAGGTTAGACACCCTAGAGCAGTCACTACTCTAAGCAGACACCACTCCTCTTCCTGCCCCAAGCACCAAGCACCACGTCCTACCGACCCCAACACACCCGTTCTGCCTCAGACGCTGCCCCCGGCCCAGCAGTACCCCCTGCCTCTCCTCCTGATGCAGCCCCTGCTCCCGACGCGGCCCATGCGCCTGAGTGTGGACCCACACACCCCTCTTTTCTCCCTCAGGTACTCCCTGCTACTGTCCTGCACCCTGCTGCTGTCGTGGACGCTGCTGCTGTCATGCACCCTGCTGCTGTCATGGACAACGCAGCCCCTGCTCCTGACCCAGGCCCACACACCCCAGCAGGCGCATCTGAGGACGCTGTACCTAACGCAAGGGAAGCACAACATTCATCGCCTCCACAACCCTCCTCCCCCCTCTTTTCTCCCACAGATCGAGTGTATCCAGACAGAGTTGCCCCCCCCTAGCGGCCGGCTCATCCACGCCCTCGCCGTTATGTCCCACAGGTGGCATGCACCGCCCGTTCTTCCTCACATGTGCCATGCAACCCTGCAGACAACACGTCTCCTACACCGCCTGGAGGGAAGGGGGAGTATTGTAGTGGATTCCTCCCCTACAAACGCTTGTCGCTGAGTAGCCGACCCCGCGAATTCCCCAGTGTATGCCTCGTGGTCTAGGTCAACCAGCGCCGCCTTACATGACGGAGGTCAACTATTAAGCCACGCCTACCTCCGCTATATAAGACCTGACCTCGTGGTGACCTAGCTCTCTTTCGACCTACACCAACCAACAAACATCACCTCCTCCTCCTCCTCTTGCCTGGCGGCCCTCGCTCCCGCCGGCGAGCATGGTGACCCACAAGCTGGTCTTCCTCTGAGCACCCTCACCAACCAGCTCTCTCTACTCAACGCTTGTAACCATGCTGCCTTCCCAGCACCAAGCTGCATTGTACATCCAATACAATATGTATACAGAGAGCACATTGTGAGTTTCCTTTCTCCATCCCATCCTGAGTGTGAACCAACATCACGTACCCCACAAGCTATTGTTGCATGTAGAGTAATGTATGTTAGCTATTGTTGCATGTAAAGCAATGTATGTTAGCTATTGTTGCATGTAAAGTAATGTATGTTAGCTATTGTTGCATGTAAAGTAATATATGTTAGCTATTCAGTGACGGATTTAGACCTGTGGAGGCCTATGGGCAGCCTCTTTGTGGAGGCCCCCCCTCATTATAATTGCCTAAGAGGGTGGGGTGGCGAGTGAAGCGAGCCTAAACATCTGGGAGTTCCGCGGGGCGCTGTAAGCCCGCGGGAAAATTTTTAAATTTGAACACTTCTTTGGAGAATTTTGAAGCCATATGCAGTTATATTAAAAATATACTGTTCATAGGAAAACCAGGTATTCATGAATTTCAAGGAGTAGCTAGCCTAATTTCTATCACGCTTCTTGCTGAACATAGTTTTACGTGATGGAATAGATAAACATGAATTTTAAAGAATGAAAATAAAAATAATCCAAATGAATAAACAAATAAATAAAATATTGTATTATGTGGAGGCCCCCGGGCAGCTGCCCACTTTGCCCACTCCTGAATCCGACCCTGCAGCGATTGTTGCATATAAAGTAATGTATGTTAGCTATTGTTGCATGTAAAGTAATGTATGTTAGCTATTGTTGCATGTAGAGTAATGTATGTTAGCTATTGTTGCATGTAGAGTAATGTATGTTCGCTATTGTTGCATGTAAAGTAATGTATGTTCGCTATTGTTGCATGTAGAGTAATGTATGTTAGCTATTGTTGCATGTAAATGTAATGTATCCTAGCTATTGTTGCATGCAATGTACGTTAGTTATTGTTGCATGTAAAGTAATGTATCCTTCCTATTGTTGCATGCAATGTATGTTAGTTATTGTTGCATGTAGCATTATGTACTTTAAGCAATGTTGCATATATAATACCTTACCCCAGGGATGCTGAGTTCCCAGAACATCTGGATCGGTCTCCATGACGATAACAACGGTCACAACTGGCACTGGGCAGACGGCACTCAACTGTCCTACTCCAACTGGCTCAATGGGGAACCTAACAATGCTAATGGCAACGAGCACTGTGGAGAGGTACACACTATTCCTACTTTTACTACTACTACTACTTTTTTTTTTTTTTAAACTTGGCCTCCAGCCTCCCCCAATAGCCACACCTTCGCCACCATTTTATTACCTTAATATTAAATATCCTAATACATAAGTAGCTGTCCTATCTGTGTTGAATTAGTTGAGTCGCAGATCTATGCGGCATTCAGTGACTGTAGCCTCATAGTCAATATCTGCAGCAGTTGTCGGGATTGGGGCAGAAGCTCTCGTTCCCCTGAGGCAGAGCAAAGCCGAACGAAGGAGAGAGAAAGACAGTCGACATCTCATCCAGGCTGTAACGTAACTTCTGGGGTGCTGCTTCTGTTCGGAGATCACCTCCGCGAGTCTGGCGTAGAAACATCTTGCACTTGGTCCCATCCCACCAGAGGTTGTGAACACTAGAGGAGTGAAGCTGCCTTGATCAACGTTTTCAATTCTCTCCCCATATACCCTTCTCTTGTCATTCTCATTCCTCCTATGTGCAGCATCGAGAGCTAGGTTACGGTGACATGCGGCCATGGGATCAAAAATCCTGATGTCGAAGAAAGCTTGCTGTCCCCGCGTCCAGAATCCTCGAGCACTGACGTCCACACGGGCTTCGTTAGATGTGTTTGAAGTCCTGTGTTGGAAGATCTCACCATCCAATGGAAGGAGGGTCGGTTCTACCATGACATCCCGGCAGATTTCCTTCAACATATTTGCGGTGAGGTCCCTTACCTCGTCATGCCTCATGCATATGAAGCCCCCTTTCTTGCACACCATGGCGTGATCGCCATCATAGGAAGAGCCACACACGCATTGGGAGGGCAAACCTTCTACTGGCCGACCGTACCTTAGAGCAATGGCATCTGTAAATTCTTGTTTATTAAGACTGAAACCATTTGCCCTTATCGGTAACGTAGTTAACCAGTTCGAGGCGCCCACCTCCTGCGCTATAGCTACTTTTTTTCAGATTTTCTGGTACCTGCAGCAACAGTTGCTGCAACTTATCATTTTGGCAGTGCTGTCGATCTGTCGTAATGGACCTACGAATCTTATTTACTTCACTGGTATTCACCTCCCCTGTTGCATTCCGGGCTATTATGTGGTCCGTGAGGGCTGCTGTGAGCTTAAGTGAATTTTGATGTTCGGTGGCAGCAATCTCCTCTGGATTGGTTAGTCACATCCCTCCCAGTCTTGGTGGAAGTGCAAGAAGTGCTCTTTCTGCTGGGGTTAAGACAGGGCGTTTCACTAATTTAGGAATGAAATTGACACTGATAACTTCTTCCAGAGGGTGGAGGAGGGGTCCGATATCAGGGATAGTACGCATCAGGTAGTTCTACCGATGCTTGACTCCATGGGTGAATGCAGCAAAGGCCGCATGTGGCTCTGTGTTAGCAATCTCAGACAGAGCTTGGATTTCACTAACCCACTCATTCACCTTTCCCACTACGTACTCGGTCTTGAAGTCCGTAGTGCCAATTACTGCGCCTAGCTGTCTTTGGCCGTCCTTAGTTATTTTGACCTCACTTCCGCCAAAAACCTCCATTGCCCGTTCATAATGTTCTGGCTTCACGATGAGGAAGGACTTGCTGGCGTTTGGGTGGTACCCTATTTGTGGACCTCGCGATGTTACCAAGTCCCACCACTTTTTGATGCCCACCACTTTTCCTGCTCCTGTAAGGTCATCAACATATGCCACTTGTTTGACCCCGGTTGTTTCAAATGTTATTTCTTGTTGGAGCACTGATAGGCCAATTGCATACATTGCCATTGCAATGGGGTCCCCCTGTGTTGTTCCCTCAGTTGACTGTAAGATGGTATCACCTCTTAGAGCCTTGTTGTTTACTATGTAGAGGTCTGATGGATTCCTATACGAATTTTCAACATACATCACAAAGCTTGGACACTTGATCTTGATGTTGTGCAGTGCAGCCTTGCGGTTAAGTATGTTGAATGCGTTTGAAGCATCCACCAGGAGAACGGCCTCACAATCACGCTGTTCAAATATCAATCTCATGGCGTAAATGGCGGCCTTCTCGCCAGCCTGGTGGCCAGCACACACTTGTAGGTTCCCTGCTGCTGTCCTGACATCATCCTTTACCACCTTTACTACTACTACTACTACTACTAGTATTTTTTTTTATGGCCTCCATCCTCCCCTAATAGCCATACCTTCGCCACCATTTTATTACCTTAAAATTAAATATCCTAATACAGAAGTAGCTATCCTAGCTGTGTTGAGTTAGTTGAGCCGCAGATCTATGCGGCATTCATTGACTGTTACCTCATAGTCAATATCTGCAACTGTTGTCGGCTTTGGGGGCCGATGCTCTCGTTCCTTTGAGGCAGAGCAAAGCCGACCTAAGGAGAGAGAAGGACAGTCGACATCTCATCCAGGCTGTAACATAACTTCTGGGCTGCTGTTTCTGTTCCGATAGCACCCCTGCGAGTCTGGCGTAGAAGCATCTTGCACTTGGTCCCATCCCACCAGAGGTTAACACTAGAGGAGTGAAGGTGCCTTGATCAACGTTCTGAATTCTCTCCCCGTATGCCCTTATCTTGTCGTCTCATTCCTCCTGTGTGCAGCATCGAGAGCTAAGTTACGGTGACATACGGCCATGGGATAAAAAATCCTGGTGTCAAAGAAGGCTCGCTGTCTCCTCATCCAGAATCCTCGAGCACTGACGTCAACACGCGCTTCGTTGGATGTGTTTGAAGTCCTATGCTGGAAATTCTCACCGTCTAATGGAAGGAAGGTCGGTTCTACCCTGACATCACAGCAGATTGCTTTCAACATATTTGCTGTGCGATCCCTTACTTCGTCATGCCTCATGCATATGAAGCCCCCTTTCTTGCACACCATGGCGTGATCGATGTCATAGGAAGAGACACACATGCATTGGGAGGGCGAACCTACCGTACATTGGCATCTGTCAATTCTTGTTTATTGAGACTGAAACCTTTTGCCCTTATCGGTAACGTAGTTAACCAGTTTGAGGTGCCCACCTCCTGCTCTATAACTCCTTTTTTTTTCTACTACTACTATTACTACTACTACCACCACTACTACTATTAATAATAACTACCACTACTACTTTTTTTTTACGTGGCCCCCAGCCTCCCCCAACAGCCACACCTTCGCCGCCATTTTATTACCTTAATATTAAATATCCTAATACATAAGTAGCTATCCTATCTGTGTTGAATTAGTTGAGCCGCAGATCTATGCAGCATTCAGTGACTGTAGCCTCATAGTCAATATCTGCAGCAGTTGTCGGCATTGGGGCAGAAACTCTCGTTCCCCTTTCAGAAAGCCGGAAAAAAATCCCTCATCCCCGGAACCTTCTGGGTACTGGAAAAATGTTCTCGGAATTTCTGGAAAATGAGCCTGATTTTCCATCTCTCAAACCCGGGAAAAAAATGCCCCCATCCCCAGAATTTTCTGGTTATCGGGAAAATTTTATCGGAATTTTCCGGATAATGTGCTCCTCAGAAAATCTTTCCCAAAGCAGGAAATTTCTGGAAAAAACTGGCTTTGGGAATGATTTTCAGAGAAAATTTCAATTCCGGCTATCGGAGAGTTCTGGGTTTGAGGAATTCCGGCTAACAGAGATATTATTACTACCACCACTACTACCACAACTCTGCTGTCACTCGGAATTGAGTATGATGATCATCCAGTGATGACAAAATAATATGAATAATTAGTGACATCACCTTCACTGGTGAGCTCAGAGGTGGCTGGAGAGGCCTATATGAGACCACCAGGGTCACCCACAGATGTTGCATGTGTTGAAGGCTACATGGAGGGCAGTAGGGCGGCGGCGGTTTGTCTGCCTCAATACTCAGTTGAGCTAACTGAAAAGTTTTAACACCTTGCGTGGTGCTCCTCCAAATGTTACGGCGTAGAGTGATCGTCTCCCAGGTGCAGGAGACAGTTTTTCAGTTTTGTCTTAAGAATTACTTAATACATTTTCCCTCCTATTCTGTAGACTACTGTTGAGTAGCTGCTTTGTTAGTTTATTGTCGTGAATGTTCAGGATCTCCTGCATAGGTCGTGTTCAGTGTGAGCGACGAGGGTGAGGTCATCTGCACCCTGAAGCTAAGTGATAGAAGCGGTCAATACCCTTATCCTTTCCTGTAGTTGTCTTATGTTGAAGGTTCCCTTCATCAAGTAAAGGGTGTCAACCCCGCCGGTTAGGTTAGCAAAGAAAATGGAAAACAGAATTAGCGCCAGTACATATCCTTGTTTTACTCTCGTTTGGATGAGGAAGATCTCCGACTGGGTGCCATTTTGTAAGACATTGCCGTTCGTGCCATCATGTAGTTGACTCACAATAGTGATGAACTTTGGTGGGCAACCAAAACAACTGAGGGTCTGTTAGAGAGCTTCCCTGTTGACCGAGTAGTAAGGTCAATGAAGGTTATGTAAAGTATAGGTCACTACGCTGATCTCTGCACTTCTGTATCTGGCGGGCAGCAAAGATCATGTCAGTGGTACAACGTGATGGTCTAAAACCACATTGAGACTCCCGGACTCAAGGAGGAAGTTTTCCACCTCGAGGAGGATGAAGGTACCAAGTGTTCCCTGAAGAAGGCAGTGATGGGTAAGGAAACACCGGGTAACACTGAAGTCCATTTATTAACGGATAGGAGAAATACAAGTGGTGACTAGCGTGTGCCATGCACGGCCCACAGAGTCAGACTGAGACTGCCTTGCCATATGGCAGCCTCGAGGCAATGTTGCCACATAACACGTGCAGTGTTGCCACGTAATTACATATATAAATGCTACTCGGCACAGTAGCTTATTTACAAGGTTGCTACTCGGCACAGTAGTATAGATACATAACCTACAGAGGCGTCTTGTTAATGAGGACTCGGCATTAATCTAGCCAGCTATTGACAGCAGCGAGATCCCGCGGTAGTTGCCACAGTATGGTCTCTCTCTCCCCTGTTCTTATAGATATTGACGATGGAGGCGTCTTTGGGGAATTTACCTGTTCCTGTAATATACTCCAGGGGAGAGTGGAGACGGCTAGCCAGAAGAGGTCTCACACACACTCACACACACAGTACACAAACTAAAGGTCACGAGTTAATGTTTAATCTCAGTTTTTATAGTTTAGCTAGGGTTGTGTATATGTAGAGATTAAAGACATGTGTTTTGATAAGTCTATAGGTGCCACTGTCAACAGAAAAACAGATAATGTTTGATGTTGTTTGGGGTAATGTTAAACGTATGTACGAATGGCCGTCTCGTAATTATTTATTTATTTGTTTTTGCTAATATTGTAGTACCTTTATCCTCATCTCTTCTGGTCAGCTAGGTAGTTGCTTGGGCGGCAGGTCTGTTCTGTTGACAAGTGCTGGGCATGTATAGGAATTGAAATGCTTTGATAAGATTAATTACAGAAGTTTGTTTTGTTAAGTTTTGTGCTTACTAAACAAGTATATACACACACACACACATATTTATATATATATATATATATATATATATATATATATATATATATATATATATATATATATATATATATATATATATATATATATATATATACTGTATATATATATATATATATATATATTCTGTAATGTTAATATTCAGTTAAAAAAAAAGAGCCGAGATATCTAAAACTTTTCATCCCTGACACACAGCTGCGGACAGAAGACATGTGGTACGGGCACTGGAATGATATTTCGTGTTCCTCGCAGGACCCCTTCGTCTGTAAGATGACAGTCAGTAAGTCACTTCTTTTTTTCATTGCATTTTCATTTTTCGAGCTCATATTATTTACATATGACACCTTTTTTCATCCCCGACAGATTTAATTTTTTTCCGCTATATGTTCTTTCACTTTGTTCACAAGCGCTGTGCAAATGGCTTTATATTTCATTAATTTTCAAATATGATATAAAATTGTTGTAGTGTATTTTGCAAATAACTTTCTACTCATGGTTATTGTTACCCATCCGAAATGGTGTCCGTTTTCTATGCCTTCTCATGGCTAAAAGATACGAGAGCGCTTCTTTTACTTTTAATTTTATCCTTTTACTTTTACTTTTATCCTCTTCACCACTGATCGGCTCGTTTGCCGCTTGGGCGATCGGTTACGTCTCTGCTACGCACTGTTGGCAAGTACTGGGCATGCACTGGCTCCTGAATGTATATGACCTGCTCCTGTGTTTATCCAGTCTGGTCTTGAAAGAGATCACACTCGGTGCCGTCACCACACTCTCGGCCAGATTGTTCCAAGATTTCACAACTCTCACTCCGAAAAAGTTATCCCTCACAGTTTTCCGGACTTGCGGCTTCTTTAACCTTGAGCTGTGTCCCCTTGTGGGGCGAGCGTCTGCCAGCTCCAGGTAAGGACACTCGACTGAGTAGTGCCCTCTGAGATGCTTGTACACCTCAATCGGATCTACCCTTGCCCGTCTGTAGTATAAGCTAGGTAAGTTCAGGCGCTCCACTCTTTCCGGGTAGCTGAGGTGCCGAGGTCCTTTGGACATTTTCAATCAGCTAACAAAACCTGGCATATCTCTGGGACCAGACGGGATGACAGTACTCCAAGCAGGAAGCACTTCACTCTTGAAGATCGTTACGAGGGACGGACCATCTAGATATCTGAACGACCTTCTTATAATGATCTAATAACTTAGTTGCCTGATTTACCTTCTCGCAATGGCCCGAGAAATTCAGTTTATTGTCAGCGTACACACCTAGGTCCTTTTCACATCCCGTCTCATTTAATGCAGTCTCTTCGTCACATTGGGACATAAGATACGCTTCCTTACCGTTGGTACGTCCCAGGAGCATCCTCTTACACTTTGTGACAGTACTCTTTCCTGGCAGTCAGTCTCCACCAGTTTGTTTACCTTGTAGAACTCGTCCGATTTTATTGAAATATTTAATAAATTTGTTCAAATATTTATAAATTTAGACATCTTTATAATTACGAACTTTATTATAAATAAGTTAAAATTATTTTTTACAAGTATATTTATTTAAAAACTGGGAAGACTGTTGATTAGACATTAGTACGTAATTGGTAAAGCCGCACTCGTACAACTGTTCGGAGGGATGCATGGTACGAGCTTCTAATGGTAGCTATGTCTGCGGCTTCTGCTATGATTTAGATTATTTTGAAGTTTTACATTTTCCAAGAATATTTAAAAAAAATTAATAAATGCCCAGGCTATCAATCAGATTTTAAATAAATATCACCGAACAGTGTTATAGTTTTTGTTCACTTGACAGTTGGGCAGTTTCATGGGATAATTTTTTTTTCTCACTATATTTGCTCATATTTTCCAACGTCATCCCGGCCCAGCAGCTTGACACCTCTGGATTAATTCATCATCATCATTAAGGGATTAAATCATCATCATCATCATCATGAAAGGGTAAATCATCATCATCATTAAAGGGTTAAATCATCATCATCATCATCATGAAAGGGTAAATCATCATCATCATCATCATCATGAAAGGGTAATTCATCATCATCATTAACGGGTTAAATCATCATCATCATCATCATCATCATTATTATTATTATTAAAGGGTTAAATCATCATTATTAAAGGATTAAATCATTTTCATCATTAAAAGGGGTAAATCATCATCATCATCATCATTAAAGGGTTAAATCATCATCATCATGAAAGGGTTAAATCATCATCATCATCATTAAAGGGTTAAATCATCATCATCATTAAAGGGTTAAATCATCATCATCATGAAAGAGTAAATCATCATCATCATCATTAAAGGGTTAAATCATCATCATCATTAAAGGGTTAAATCATCATCATCATTAAAGGGTTACATCATCACTAAATGGTTAAATCATCGCCATTAAAGGGTTAAATCATCATCATCATCACTAAAGGGTTAAATCATCATCATCATGAAATGGTTAAATCATTATTATCATGAAAGGGTTAAATCATCATCATCATTAAAGGGTTACATCATCACTAAACGGTTAAATCATCATCATATTAAAGGGTTAAAACATTGTCGTCAATAAGAGTTAAGACACTCTCGTTAAATGGTTAAAACATCGCCGCCAGAGTTAAATCGTCATCGTCAGAGTTAAATCGTCGTCGTCAAAGGGTTAAAATATCATAAAATGGTTCAAACATTATCAGTGGGTTAAATCATCGTCGTCAAAGGTTTGAGAAAACACTATCAAAAGGTTAAAGCATCGTCGTCAAAGGTTTAAAAGATCATTAAAGGGTTAAAACGTTGTCAAAGGTTTAAAACATAATCAGAGGGTTAAAAAACGGTTGTCAAAGGGTTAAACAGTAATACAAATGTGGGGGCTTAAAGGGCGTCGTCGATTTTCTCAAATTGTACCATAACAAAGGCGAAGAGGAAATTAAAAACCAAACGGACTGTGAAGAGCTGCAGAAGGATCTCAGAGCTTCAAGAATGGTCGAAGAAATGGCTGCTGAGATGTAAGAGACACTTGACACAGTTTTGGGTGAGAATATGCTTGTAGAATCAGTATTATCCTGTTGTTATTTATTTGACATGAGTAGTTATGATAGCAGGTATTGGGTGGAAATAAAGGTGTTAGTGTGGGTATTAATCGTTGAAAGTGATAATAATTATTATCACTTTCAGTGGGCGTGAGTTTCAAGTTCGAATATCTGATTTTTTTCTTGGGAAAATATGTGCCCACTTTCTGTTCGTGGAGACATGGTGATAGTGGTGTATTGAGGTGAGAGTCTTGGTGGTGGTAGTGGAGGTTAAATTTCATAGTGGTGGTGGTTGGAGGTGATGGTGGTGGTAGTTGGTGATAGTGGTGGTGGAAATAGTGGTTGGAGGTGATCGTGTCAATGGTTAGAGGTGATAGTGTTTGTAGTGGTGTTGGACGTGTTTGTGGTGGTGGTGGTGTTGGAGGGAATAATGTTTGTGGTGGTGTTGAAGGTGATCGTATTGGGTGGTGGTGGAGGTGATAGTGGTGTTGTAGATGGTAATGATCATTAAGAAATTATTACTCTTTTACTTGCAAGTTCTATTTCTAATATGGATGCTAAATGAAAACGGGAGAACACACGCCTCTTTCAAGAAGAATGGACCTCAAAGTTCCCGTTTGTAGAGGTTCGTGGAAAACCCCTTGTGTTCTTGTCTGCAAAGAACCTATAGCCGTCCTGAAAGTTTACAGCCTGAAACGTCACTTTGATTCTATCTTAGACATGCTAGTAAATGTGAAGGGGTCAAAGAGAGAGCGAAAGAACAACTTAAAATTAATCTCAAAACTGGTTAGTAGTAGCAGGAATAATTTCGCAAACCAATCCAGAACAGCAAAGCTGTTGTGAAAGATAGCTATGTGGCTGCATGGAAAATAGCAGAAGCATCAAAACTGTTCACTGGTGGAGAATTTATCAAGGACTAAGTGAAGGAGGTAGTGGGAATCTAGTGCCTGAAAAGGTGAAGATCTTCAATATGGTAACTTAAACGAAACACAGTTGTGTCTATAATTGAAGAAATGGGCCAAGACATTATTGAACAATTAGCAGAGAAGGCCAAGAAATTGATCTTTTTCAGTCTTCCTTTTGATGAGAGCAATAACATGATGGACACAGGTCAATTTTCCATGTTTATCAGGGGCATTACAGATGAAGTCAATGTTCATGAAGATATTGTTGCTTTGGAAAGTCTTCACAGTCGTGCTTGTGGCATTGACGTGAAGGAGGTCATTATGAAGGTTAAATATAGAATTTTCTCTCATTTGTCATGAAATAAACTTGATGGATTTATACAACGGATGGAGCACCAGTGATGATGGGTCAAATGAATGGTGCTGCGGCTCTCATCAAGTCCCGTCCATAGTGGTTATGTCAACCATAATGTCCTGACTGTCCATTGCATTATCCACTCTTTGACAATAATAATTTAACCCTTTGATGATGATGATGACGATGACGGTGGTGGTGGTTAAACCCTTTGAGGACGATGATTGAACCCTTCAGGATTCAAAGGGTTAATTAAGTCCAATAGACGAGTCTACACCTTCTGTCAGAGGAAAAGTTTAACGTTAGAACCTTTAAGTATCTTGTTCGTAAACGTGCGTCAACTCCTACCTGCATGAACCCCCTTAGTACTGTATTCGAATGTAGGACTTTTGGACCAGGGTGGCTAGAACCTAATTAAACCTAACCTAACCTAACCTAATTTAGAACCTAACATAAACTAACCTAAAACCTGACCTAAACTGATCTAAAACCTAACCTAAAGCCTAACCTAACCAAGACCTAACTTAAATTAACCTAACACTTTTCCAAAACTAACCGAGGTCCAAACATTTGTGGCCCAACTGTGTTAAGACCTTTCAGGACTAATCTCAACCCTAAATGAATCACTGTTTTACTGTCCTTCCTGCCAGAAACTTGTCCGGAGTCCTTCACATACCACGAAGGGAAGTGTTACTATGCCAGCAACTTTGATGCTACATGGGATGCTGCGAGGTACAAGTGCAAGCAGTTTAATTCTGAGGCGGAACTCGTCAGTATCCACTCTGATGATGAGAATTCTTTCTTTCACGGTAAGTTTCTCTATCCCATACCTGACACCCTAACCTAACGACCAGTTTCCACCGAAACTAACCAACCTGACGCCCTAACCTAACCTAACATCTAGTTTCTACCTAAACTAACCTAACTTAACTACCTTCCTACTTACATAAACTCACCTAAGCTACCTGACGCCCTAACCTAACCTAACATCTAGTTTCTACCTAAACTAACCTAACTTAACTACCTTCCTACTTACATAAACTAACCTAAGCTACCTGACGCCCTAACCTAACGACCAGTTTCCACTTAACCAAACCAACTTCCTACCTACCTAACCTAACAATTAATGTCGCACGGAACAGGAGGTAAGATATGTAGTTTTACACCAAGAAATACTAAGTACACTGTACAGCAGGCATGGCCAACCTTTCCTCAGTCGTGGGCCACATTATGATTTAGTTATTTATATCTTACCTAACCCTAAAGTACTGTTAATATTGTATTAGCGCAGGCATTGAAACAGCTTACAATAAATTCTATTCACAATCAGTCTTTTTTCCCATTTTTTAAACAAATCAATGAAAATACTTTACTATTTATTTATTTATTTATTATTATTATTTTTTTTTTACTACAGGATTAGCCCACCATGGCACAGGTCACTGACCCACAACAGGGCCTGGGGACGAAAATATAATAAATATAATAATAATAATAATAATAATAATAATAATAATAATAATAATAATAATTAATAAAAAATCATAACAAAATATTAAATAAAAATATAATAAAAAAAAAAAAAAAAAAAAAAAAAATAATAATAATAATAATAATAATAATAATAATAATAATAATAATAATAATAATAATAATAATAATAATAATAGGACTATATATATAAAAAAAAAAGATCGATAGTGAGAAACAATATATGAATGTTGTGTTGTCAAAGCAAGAGAAACAATTGAGACCCTGCAATAGTGTGTAAATGAGGCACAAAGTCAAATCAGCAACCTGAGACATGGTTAAATTTTTTGTGATGTCATATGGCAGCAGGGTCTACCATTAGTAGTATGTTAATGTTTCTTGGTATTTATCAGCAGATGAGTGAAACAGTCTTTGAATACATTGATTTTTCCTACAGTTACAACATTTTTCTTACTTACAAGACACACCCACTAGAATAATGTTAATCTTGGTGCATGAGGAACTACAATGAAACAACCGATAGGCACATCTATATATCTATGTTATCTAGATGCAGCCAGTTTGTGGTGAGTAAAAGTAATATTTATTAAAAGAATAATCTTCACACACAATTCATTATTGTTTCATCACCTAAGAGTAAGGAACTAAAAAAAAAAAAAAAAAAAAAAAAAATATATATATATATATATATATATATATATATATATATATATATATATATATATATATATATATATATATATATATATATATATATATATATATATATATATATACAAGTAAATCACTGTAGGTGCATGATCTAGGTATATGCTGATAACCACAAGGAAAGAAGAAAACACGAAGTTCCCAAGCGCTTTCGTGTAATTCACATCTTCAGGGGAACTTTGTGTTATTATATATATATATATATATATATATATATATATATATATATATATATATATATATATATATATATATATATATATATATATACTTCATTTTTAGTACATATAACACACGAACTTGAACATACAATCAACAACCTCACCAGCCAGGACTCGAACCCTCGACTTACTGCGTGTGACCAGCTGGATTCGGTAAAATGCTACTCCTACCACATAAGTGGGGGACCGGTGGTAGAAGCGGTACCGTTCTTGCCTCGCAAGCGAGATGTCACGGGTTCGATTCCCGGGCCGGTGGAAGTTATTTGGACTTACTTCCTAGCCCCCATTAGTCCCTGTTCACCTAGCAGTAAAGTAGGTACCTGTTGTAAGTCGAAAGTCGCCAATTCGTATTCAGGGAGTTGTTGGAGCTTCCAATAACTTGATGACATAAACCATTGACTCTTCAGGCTTCTACGCCCTTGACTCTTCAGGCTTCTACGCCCTTAACTCATGAGACATAAAGGCAAGCATGAACTTAGCATTCTTCCCTGTTGGGCAATCCCCATTGAGGTTCACGGCGCCATCAGCTCGATGAACAGGCTTTGTGTGAAATATAACATAGTCTAGGATTGCTTTTAGTGTCTTTGTGGTTTGGGCCGTAACCAGGTGAGAAGGTTGGGTCACCTTACCCTCTGACCTGACTACCGACCGTTGCGGTGCTATTTAAAGATTAGTAGGGTCATTACCTAATACCTGACCATTGTGGACCCAGTCTCACCCTCCTTTGTATATATACACCTTGTTTTGTACTTCTCTTTAGTCTGTATTCACCCCTGAAGATGTGAATTACACGAAAGCACTTGGGAACTTCGTGTTTTCTTCTTTCCTTGTGGTTATTAGCATATACCTAGATCACGCGCACCTACAGTGATTTATATATATATATATATATATATATATATATATATATATATATATATATATATATATATATATATATATAATCCATCAAACAGACCGAGCCGAGCTTGGCCCATAAACTCTCACAAGTTAAAATGTTTATATTGTTGACTATCTATACTTATTTTAGTGTTGCATTTTCGTAGTTACTTACTCTTAGGTGATGAAACAGTAATTAATTGTGTGAAGATTATTCTTTTAATGAATATTAATTTTACTCACCACAAACTGGCTGCATCTAACTAAACCGCGAGGCACATTAAATATAATTTATCAAGCACTCTGCGGGCCACATAAAGATATGGTTCCTACTTCATGCGGAAGATATGGTTCCTATCTCATGCGGCCCACGGGCCGGGGGTTGCCCATGCCTGCTGTGTACAGTATGCATAGTTATTTACAGAAAACAAAATATAATATAGTCTTACAAAAATACATATTACTGCATAATACAATACCTAAATAATATGGTATTTTATAAAACGATTCATAAGTAGTGAGGTGAAAGAGTTATACATTAGTTACTCCTGTAATTACAAGAAAATTACATTTCTTTAGTTTGTGCATTATTATTATTACTTATTAATATCCTATTGTTCTTCTGAGTGTTATATATTTGTAATTTGTATTATTAGAAGAGTTTTCAATATTTGGTTGCTGTACCAGGACTTAAGGGAAAAGTGTTCAATGTAAGTCGAGAAGATAACGTTTTTGTTCTGGGAGGGAAAACGCAGTGCGATATCCAGGGGTCTGAGGTGTTTCTCTGTCTATTTCCATGTTACTGGTGCTGTACTCATCCCCTGGGTGACTTAATGGGGACTACATTAAGGAAGAAATAAAGGAAATGTGACTTGATCGACCTTTCTCTTACCATTGACTTTAGCTACTGTGACCAGGTTAACTTCTCCTAGCTATGCATAGAATACAAATTCTTTCATTCATAAATACCTATTGTACAGGTTGGACCCCGATAATCTGGGACCCGATAGTTCGGCAGCTACTATGGTTCAGGACGGTGTCATAGCTCACTTTCAGTGACTGTTGCCACTATTTTACCTTTAAATACTTATATTTACCCCTAAGAGACCAGCAAGCAGTGGAAGTGGTTGTAATGCTGCGAAACATAAGCATGTGACTTCAACTATTTTAGAAAATGTGTCTATACTGAAGAAACTAGACGTGGTACATTGGTGAGCCCCTTGTGTGGTCTTTCTTAACCTCTGCTTCGATGGTTTGGAATTTTCGATAATCCGGAACCTGTCTGGTCCCAAGCTTCCCGGATTAACGAGGTCCTACTGTACTGTATTACATTTTGTTACATACAGTAAATCCTCGATAACTCGGCACATATGGGGCTCTGTCCTTGCCGAGTTATCCCAAATTCTGACTTATCGAGGCACTACCCCCCTCCTACAAAAATACAACAATAAAAAAATATCGACCCATATATGTGTACATGTAATTACTAAATGTAAAAAAAGTAATACTCATCAACACTGCAGGTGAAGAATGAAGCATCATAGTAGGTGACACAGAGGCATGGTAGGTGACACAGAGGTATGGTGGGTGGCACAGAGGCATGGTAGATGATGCAGGTGAGCAGATATGCCAGGATTTTCCCAGATAATTTTACATATCTCGGCATTTCCCGAGTTATGCTAATACATTCAGAGACCATATCCATGCCGAGTTATATGAAATTCCGAGTAATCAAATGCAGAGTTATTGAGGGTTTACTGTATACCCAAAAATATATTGTTACAGACACTAATAGTACATTATTACCTGCAACAGTACCTAAAACCTACATAATTACACAGAACAAAGCCTAAAACATATTTAGAATTCTCCAAGACATAACTAGCTAATGTGATTGTTTGATCAACTTGGGACAGGCAAACTGACCCACAGCAGTCCCGGAACCTGGCTGGGTCTTACCTACAACTCGAGCAGCCAAGTGTGGTCGTGGTCTGATGGTGCTGACGGCAACTACACCAACTGGAATGATGGAGAGCCCAATGACATGGAGAGTGAATGGTGTGCAGAGATCATCGATTACTCAGGGAAGTGGAACAACCTTCCCTGTACCCAATCAAGATCCTTTGGTTGCGAGTTCCTTCCAAGTAAGTGTGTGTGTGTACAAGTAAGTGTGTGTGTGTACAAGTAAGTGTGTGTGTGTGTACAAGTAAATGTGTGTGTGTACAAGTAAGTGTGTGTGTGTGTACATGTTGTGTGTATGCGTGTGTGTGTGTATTTGTGTCATTATAGAACCACTGTCTTGATCACCCTATTTCTTTTCTTTTATTCAATTCCCTCTTTCTATCTATTTTCTTTTATTCTATTCTCTTTTTCTCTCTTCTGTATCTTCTGTTACCTTTCCTCTCTCTTCTCTCTTTCTCTCAATCTGTATAATCCTTCTCTTTCCTCTTTTCTTCTCTTTTCTCTTCTCTTTTCTTTTCTCTCTTCTCTTTTCTTTTCTCTCTCCTCTCCTCTTTTCTCTCTTCTCCTCCTTCTCCTCTCCCCTTCAGCAGTGTCTCAACCTCCCCCCTCAATATACCACAACTCAAACATCAAGCCTCATATCTAGGCTGGCCAGACGTCCTGCTTTAGGCAGGACAGTCCTGCTTTTGAGCACTCTGTCCTCCGACCTGCGCCACCTCAAGCAGGACGTTAATTTGTCCTTCTCTTTTGGGCCTGTCTAAAAAGAATTATATAAATTACCTTACGTATACTAAAACAGTGGGAGCTGAAGGCCACATTATAAGTAGGCTACTTCCTTTAGTTTGTGAAGTAGGTTAATTTGGTTAGCATACAGTATGTTGTTCCAGCAGGAGTAAAAATGAATATTCATTTATTTCAGTTCTTTATGTACACTGTATGAATGCATGTATCATGTATGTAATATATACAGTGCGCTTAAAAAAAATTGAAATTTTAGAAAAACCACAAAATAGCCTTCATTACATTATAGTGATATTTGACAAATCAACACTTCTAAGTTTATTTTGTATATTTTATACAACTTTTTATATTTCAACTCATCATTAAACATGTTTAATTTAGATTAAAAATAAGTGTCGTAAAAATAAAAAAATATCCTCCGTTTTGGAAATTTGGAAATGGTCACCCTAAGTCATATCTCCTCCCAGCACACACAGTGGGGTGCGAAGATGGGTGGGAGGCCTTCGACAAGTACTGTTACAAACACTCCAACGCTGACCACTCGTACGAGATGGACACCTACGATAACACCCGGGCTAAGTGTCAGGGTCTGGGCGGGGATCTCGTCTCTATACATACTCCTGAAGAGAATGACTTTGTCTTTTCCTTGTTGAGTATTGGTAAGGAATTATATATATATTTTTTATTCTTGTTTATCTCCGTTGCTTGACATTTTTTTCTTTCTGTTATTGCTTGAGCATTGGTTGTACTTACTGTATGTCACTTGATCTTTGTGTAGTATTTTAATTGTTTGATATTTTATTTTTTGCATATTCGCTGTTTCATATTACTTTTCAAGAACTGAAGAAACAGCTAAGAAAATTAACATAGACGTTTCCTCAGATACAACTGTTTAATAATTGACAAAGATTCTATACTAATTGTAACTCACCTTATCTAGCCTTACAGAAAGTTATTTTATTTAAAGTTGGGTTAAATTCTCAAATATTAGTTGTAAAAGGAAGTTTTAGCAGTTTGAATTACCAAACCATGAAGAAATATTTATATGAATGTTTAACTCTTTGAAGACGATGGCTTAACCCTTTGAGAATCATAGTTTAACCATTTGAAGAGGATGGTTTAACCCTTTGAGAATCATAGTTTAACCCTTTGCAGAGGATGGTTTAACCCTTTGAGAATCATAGTTTAACCCTTTGCAGAGGATGGTTTAACCCTTTGAGAATCATAGTTTAACCCTTTGAAGAGGATGGTTTAACCCTTTGAGAATCATAGTTTAACCATTTGAAGAGGATGGTTTAACCCTTTGAGAATCATAGTTTAACCCTTTGCAGAGGATGGTTTAACCCTTTGAGAATCATAGTTTAACCCTTTGAAGAGGATGGTTTAACCCTTTGAGAATCATAGTTTAACCCTTTGCAGAGGATGGTTTAACCCTTTGAGAATCATAGTTTAACCCTTTGCAGAGGATGGTTTAACCCTTTGAGAATCATAGTTTAACCCTTTGCAGAGGATGGTTTAACCCTTTGAGAATCATAGTTTAACCATTTGAAGAGGATGGTTTCACTCTTTGAAGACGATGGTTTAACCCTTTGAGAATGATAGTTTAACCCTTTGCAGAGGATGGTTTAACCCTTTGAGAATCATAGTTTAACCATTTGAAGAGGATGGTTTAACCCTTTGAGAATGATAGTTTAACCCTTTGAAGAGGACGGTGTCACTCTTTGAAGACGATGGTTTAACCCTTTGAGAATGATAGTTTAACCCTTTGAAGAGGATGGATTAACCCTTTGAGAATGATAGTTTAACCCTTTGAAGAGGATGGTTTCACTCTTTGAAGACGATGGTTTAACCCTTTGAGAATGATAGTTTAACCCTTTGCAGAGGATGGTTTAACCCTTTGAGAATGATAGTTTAACCTTTTGAAGAGGATGGTTTAACCCTTTGAGAATGATAGTTTAACCCTTTGAAGAGGATGGTTTAACCCTTTGAGAATCATAGTTTAACCTTTTGAAGAGGACGGTGTCACTCTTTGAAGACGATGGTTTAACCCTTTGAGAATCATAGTTTAACCCTTTGAAGAGGATGGATTAACCCTTTGAGAATGATAGTTTAACCTTTTGAAGAGGATGGTTTAACCCTTTGAGAATCATAGTTTAACCCTTTGAAGAGGACGGTGTCACTCTTTGAAGACGATGGTTTAACCCTTTGAGAATGATAGTTTAACCCTTTGAAGAGGATGGTTTAACCCTTTGAGAATGATAGTTTAACCCTTTGCAGAGGATGGTTTAACCCTTTGAGAATCATAGTTTAACCCTTTGAAGAGGATGGTTTAACCCTTTGAGAATCATAGTTTAACCATTTGAAGAGGATGGTTTAACCCTTTGAGAATGATAGTTTAACCCTTTGAAGAGGACGGTGTCACTCTTTGAAGACGATGGTTTAACCCTTTGAGAATCATAGTTTAACCCTTTGAAGAGGATGGTTTAACCCTTTGAGAATGAGTTTAACCCTTTGATAGTGCATGGTTAACCCTTTGAGAATCATAGTTTAACCATTTGAAGAGGATGGTTTAACCCTTTGAGAATGATAGTTTAACCCTTTGAAGAGGACGGTGTCACTCTTTGAAGACGATGGTTTAACCCTTTGAGAATCATAGTTTAACCCTTTGAAGAGGATGGTTTAACCCTTTGAGAATGATAGTTTAACCCTTTGCAGAGGATGGTTTAACCCTTTGAGAATCATAGTTTAACCCTTTGAAGAGGATGGTTTAACCCTTTGAGAATCATAGTTTAACCATTTGAAGAGGATGGTTTAACCCTTTGAGAATGATAGTTTAACCCTTTGAAGAGGACGGTGTCACTCTTTGAAGACGATGGTTTAACCCTTTGAGAATCATAGTTTAACCCTTTGAAGAGGATGGATTAACCCTTTGAGAATGATAGTTTAACCTTTTGAAGAGGATGGTTTAACCCTTTGAGAATCATAGTTTAACCCTTTGAAGAGGATGGTTTAACCCTTTGAGAATGATAGTTTAACCCTTTGAAGAGGACGGTGTCACTCTTTGAAGAGGATGGTTTAACCCTTTGAGAATCATAGTTTAACCCTTTGAAGAGGATGGTTTAACCCTTTGAGAATGATAGTTTAACCCTTTGAAGAGGATGGTTTCACTCTTTGAAGACGATGGTTTAACCCTTTGAGAATGATAGTTTAACCCTTCAAAGAGGATGGTTTAACCCTTTGAGAATCATAGTTTAACCCTTTGAAGAGGATGGTTTAACCCTTTGAGAATCATAGTTTAACTCTTTGAAGATGATGGTTTAACCCTTTGAGAATCAGTTTAACCCTTTGAAGAGGATGGTTTAAGTCTTTGAAGGCGATGGCTTAACCCTTTGAGGATGATAGTTTAACCCTTTGAAGAGGATGGTTTAACCCTTTGAGAATGTTGGTTTAACCCTTTGAGGATGATGGTTTAACCCTTTGAAGATGATGGCTTAACCCTTTGAAGATGATGGTTAGCTCTTCGAGGATGATAGTTTAACCCCTTGAAGAGGCTGGTTTAACCCTTTGAGGATGATGGTTTTAGCCTTTGAAAATGATGGTTTAACTCTGAGGATGATGGTTTAACTCTTTGAGGATGATGGCTTAACTCTTTGAGGATGATGGTTTAACCCTTTGAAAATGATGGTTTAACTCTTTGAGGATGATGGTTTAACTCTTTGAGGATGATGGTTTAACTCTTTCAGGATGATGGCTTAACTCTTTGAGGATGATGGTTTAACCCTTTGAAAATGATGGTTTAACTCTTTGGGGATGATGGTTTAACTCTTTGAGGATGATGGTTTAACTCTTTGAGGATGATGGCTTAACCCTTTGAAGACAATGATTAGACTCTCCAGAACGGAAAGGGTTAAGGTGTACATTAAGTTTGATGGTGTGCAGTATGGCTGGTAGTGTGTGATCAAGGTAACATATTTGAAGGAATCTTACTTACAGAGAGGTTCTATACTAGCACCTGGATCGGCATGACAGATAACGGTCACCCGGGTGATTTAACGTGGTCTGATGGCACCTCCGTTACCTTCACCAACTGGGGTGTGGTCTACAGTTACCGTAAGTGCCAGAAACATGTTTAAAAAAATAACTCTTACATACGAAAGAGTTCAAGTAAAGATACGAAACATTTCTCAGATGTTTTATTTTCACTCCCCATTCAAATATAGATGAATTGGGTTTCAGTTTCATTTGTGTTTTGAATTATTCTTTTTAGCTCATGAAATCATAATTTAGATGGAATATTTTGCCCTCATAATGTTTTTTTTTTGTCTACTTCAACAGCATTTACCCACATTCCTACCTGTGCTCAGTACGCCTATACTGAAACACAAGCTCTCTGGAGTATGAATAAGTGTGAGGAAGTCTCTTACTACATCTGTAAGAAGCCTCAAGAAGCCCGGCCCATCAACCCGCCTCAGGACAACTGCACAGAGGTGACATGTTTGTCAGGTGGATGTTTGATGAAATAATTACATATATCAATTTCTGATTTAATTTTTTTTAAACAAAAGGACACAAAGTATGGGTAGAAAATGACTTCAAATATTGAATGAGAAAGATGGGAGAAATATTGATACTGTACATTAGTTCTTATATTGATATCCAAATCCTGTATATTTTGAGAGGTTTACAGTGTACAGTACTCTGTGTAATAGTTGTATATTTCGTTATCTTTGATATTTTACTTAGTACAGTACTGCAATACCATAGTAATGTCGAGTATGTTTTTCAGGCCAATATACTGCTTTAGTGCCACTAGAGAAATAGCCAATATGCTTTTCAGGCCAATATACTGCTTTGCGATGTTGAGACACAGGCAGATAAGCACTAGGGGACTCGGCAAAACTACAGGAAGATCTAAACAAATTTTTCGAATGGTCTGAAAGATGGCAGATGAAATTCAACGTCGACAAATGTAAAGTACTCAGTATAGGAGATGTAAACAGGGAAACCAGATACCAGATGAACAACGATGCCATAGAGAAATCCGACTGCGAGAGAGATTTAGGAGTAATGATAAGTAGGAACCTTAAGCCAAGTAAACAATGTGTTTTTGCTCGTAACAAGGCTAATAAAGTACTTGGGTTCATACAAAGGAGTGTTAGTTACAAGACTAGCGAGGTCATCCTAAAACTGTATCTTGCTCTTGTGAGACCACACCTGGATTACGCAGTTCAGTTCTGGTCACCGTATTACAGAATGGATATAGAATCCTTGGAAAGAATTCAGAGGAGAATGACAAGACTAATCCCGGGCATTAGGAACCTTGAGTATAGAGACAGGTTAAAGCATCTTAATTTGCACTCCCTCGAGAGACGTAGAGCGAGGGGCGACCTGATAGAGGTGTTTAAGTGGAAGGCAGGGCTAAACAAAGGGGACATTACAAAGGTACTCAAACTATCCAACCAGGAGCGAACTCGTAACAATGGTTTTAAATTAGACAAATTTAGATTTAGGCGTGAAATAGGTAAACACTGGTTTGGAAACAGAGTAGTGGATGAATGGAACCAAAATCATCATTAACTCGAATACGCTGAATTGCTTCAAACATAGGTTGGATGCTCATATGAGCAATAGGGGTTGGGTGTAAACGGGACTGCCCAGTATGGGCCAATAGGCCCGCTGCAGTTTCCTCCATTCTTATGTTCTTATGGCTAAGTCTTGCCATTCAGGAGCTGGGAATCCATACCAGATATACTGTATTTTAACGCCTCTCATCCAGGGTTAGAGTTTTAGTTTGTCTATCCACTGCTGTTGGATGAAAATACCTCAGGATGGGCGACTTCCATGGCGCTGGTTGACCAGGACGGTTCACTGTACTTATGAGACATATTCTAGGTGCACCAGACGAGGACTTGACACACCCAAACATTACTTACCAAGGCCACAACCTCTCAAACACACCCACTGTAACGAGGGGGGTAGGGTAGGAACAACAAGCTAGCTGCCACCATTTGTAAGAGCGGGGGCTGCTACTACTTACTGCTGAGCCACTCTGCAAGGGCTTGGCACTCTTATAACAACTTACGCAATACTCTGACCTAGTAGCGTGACGTGAGAGGAAGGCCCATGGGTACATGTAAATATAGTATCGAGTATTAGGGAGAGAACAACGGTGAATACTATAGGCGAATCATAGACCCACATACAAATACAATGTTTATTGAAACACAAAAATGGTTACAGAAAAGACGTTGTATACACCCAAAGTAGGAACTCCTGGTACCATGCCCTCAGGCTCAATTTACTTGCACCACTACTGGGTGTACACACACGAAAACACACATAAACTCTTACAGCACCTTAGTGACAATAAAATCAGTGGCACCTGCCAGTACAACACTCAATACCCCAGGGGCAATACTCCAGAGGCCGCCATGGGAGTCTCATCACCAAGTGACACCTTCCAACAGACTCCGATAATTCCGGTGGACTAACACCACCACACAAATAGCCCTACTGAGCTATGTACTGTACACATCCACCAATGATGGGGCTGGCAGTGGTTTGGGGGCTTGACGAGCCGGGTTCACCATGGGGGCATGGCGTCAGGGGAATACTACCTCCTATGGGGCCCATAGGTAATAGTGGAGCCTCTGACGGTCGGGGTTCACGGGGACACCCGACTCCACTGGACCTCAGACATCTCCCCAGACTAGTGGATGCGTCATCCACCCTGCAGACACGGCCTAGGCTGCGATAGGGACCTGTCGGAGGGAATGGCGGCTCACTGTGTGTATAACGAACCTCAACGTTTCAAAGGGACACTAAGGACATAAAATACTTCACTCAAGGCACATTAACTACGTTACTTTAACACTTGCACAATCAAACTATTAGTTAGGTCAAATCACTTTAAAATGGCGAATTACAACAAGGAGAAGGTAGAATGACCTACCTGTGGGAGGAAAGATTGGCGGCTCACTGACGGTTGAGCTGCCAGCCGCCTTCCACCCACGCTAAAGTCACGGATTCCACCTACTCAACCATTTCACTGAATTACGTTACTGTAACACTCTGACGTTTGAAACTGAGACTACGAACTCAGTTTCATTCCCTACTATTATCTTTACAAACAATGCTCTGAGTGAGCTATCAAAAGCAAGAATTAAATTGTTCACAAAAGGTTGGATGGCAACAGGTCCCAACACGCAACGCCTTGCTACAACACCCGAGGAGCAGATTCAAAAGGTTCCCTTCAGAATATCAACTAATTCCTCAGTTAACCTCCCTACCACAATTTCACTATGATTATCAGAGTCTGTAATATTCATAGGTGAAAAAAAATGTTTACAGGTCTCGGTGGATGCAAAAGAGTTTAAAACTCGGTCAACAAACATACGACATCTCGATGACGTCATCAAAGAAACAGAGAACAGAGGAAATTCCCACTGGGAGGCTCGGAAGGTTTTGTGGACGTGTAAGCGTAATATGGATCATTAGTTTAACAGGTTAGCCGTCATTACGATCATGACACCACAATAATAAACATTACTCAAATGTAAACTATGGTAACCTGTTAGGATGGACAATAAAAATTTAAGAGAGCAATAAAGAATATTGTGATCATATGAAACGTAAGACTGCACCTTAACATTATTTCCAAGCCTATCTTCAAGAAGCTATTTAACATATGCACCGACTTCCACAAATACTGTACTCCCGAGTTAGTTTTTTGTTAATACAGGGTATTTATACTAGTGTCGTTCGCCTCTATTCTAGGGGTCGGTGGTTCAATTCTCGGGTGCTCCCAGTTCACCCAGCTGTAAATGGGTGTCTAAGTTTACAAGTAGTGTAGTACTGACCATGCTGCCTCCCTGTGGACCGAAAGCTCCGCATACAGTGTCCTGTATCCACAATGTCCCTAGTGGAGTTGTTGAAGCACACATATTAATGCTCCTCTTCACAGGGCCTGTGTATCATTCCTATTGTTGTTAGAACTGAAGACAACTTTGATACTCTATTAAAATACAGTATCTCTCAGGCACCTACAGGACGTGATAGATATTTCAATAGTTGATTGACTTGATTTCTAATTATCTGCTGTGTTCTAATGTGTTAGTTATAATTAATGATGTGTTATTTATCATTATTCTTGTTGTTTGGTTGTGATATATTATCACCATATAAGACATTAGCTTTCGTCTATGTGTTGTGTATTTGTACTTAGTTATATGTGAAGATTCTTGCTTGTACAGTAGGTATTGTAGTGCTTGTAATTGAATATAATAGTTGTCCCTCTTGTGATGTCAGTTGTGATCTATTTTCTATTTCAGTGTTTGTCTCGTAGAAAACGTTACTTTTACAAGCTGAGGAAACCATGGATAAACCAAGACCAGTTTGCTTCACACAATAAGGACGAATCTCGTTTCTCTTCACCTTTCTATTCACATTTCTCCAGTTTTGACGATAAACATCACCCATTGTTCCGTAACAGTGGCTTCTTGTCCCACAGATTCCGTAAGCCCCCATTTATACCTGTAAGACCTGCTGGGGATAAAACTACTCGATATTTCTCATTGACACGATCACCCAGCCCAGTGACACCATCCCCATTTCTTGCTGCGACACAACAAGCAAAGAACAAAGCTACTGACACCATGACCGGAGACACTGACACCGTCTCTAATGGAAGTCTGGGAAGTACACCCATACACACTAATAGAGGAAATATAACCAATATAGCCATAGACACTGTGACATTATCGGTGCCTCGGGACATGAACTGTGAACTGGTAAGGCTGCAGAAACATTGCTTGTGCATGTCATGCTTTATAGTCTCATAATGTCTGTACTAACAGTTTCTGTTCTGTTATCCATACTAATTACCAATTATCCATGATGACTGTTGGTTGTGTATGATAATATCTAAATATGCATGATGACTACTAATTGTGCATGATGACTACTAATTGTGCATGATGACTACTAATTGTGCATGATGACTACTCATTATGCATGATGACTCCTAATTATGCATGACAATTGTTAATTATGCATAAAGGTTACTAATTATGCATGATTTGATTATGCACAATGACTACTGATTATCCAGGATGACTAGTAATTATGCATGCTGATTATTAATTATAAAACATAACTGCTGACTATGCATGATGACCACTAATTATACCTGATGATTACTATTATGCACGATACCTACTCATTATGCACAGTGATGACTTCAACATCGCCAACAGTCCTCGTTGTACAGGGCCCCTCCAAATTCGAGGATTTTTATTTCACCCAAGAATGTCTGTGGGTAGTTATAAAGTTGACGGAATTTTTGCGGCTGGGACAAGGGAACCATTTATTCTAGAGATAGTAATTTCCTTTACCTGTATTATAAATATGTGTGTGTGTGTGTGTGTGTGTGTGTGTGTGTGTGTGTGTAGACACACACACACACACAAAACACATACAAATAAATAATAAATAGAAAAATACTCTCACAAATAATCAGAAACAAATCTATTAAAAATGTGAGTCTACTGTAGGGTTTCGTGGGATAATGTTGTCTAGCACTCAGGATGGATGGAAACTCTAAGGTGGTTTTCTTATATAATATAAGTTATATGGTAGACAGTCTGGTGCTGGAGGTGCCGTGTGGTGAGGAGCTGCTCAGTAGACACGTTCGGTGAGTAGCGTGTTGAAGGAGGTAGATGTGCAGGAGCTTCGTTAGGGATGGTGTTGCCTGTTGCTGGCCTCCAGGTTGAATGAGAACGGGACAGCGAGGAGCTTGCTGGAGGAGGTGTTGCGTGTTCAGGAACCGAGAGCAGAATAAGAGCTGGTTGGTGAGGAAACTCAGAGAAGGACAGCTGGTGGGTCGCCATGCTCGCTGGCGGGAGCGAGGACCGCCAGGCAGGCGGAGGAGAAGCGAGGGCCGCCAGGCAGCGGCGGAGGAGGAGGTGTTGCTTGTTCAGGAAGAGAGGCCAGAATGAATCTCAATGGAGAGACAGAGCTTATATACCCAGCAGCCGTGAGTCATCTATGAGTCATGGTGGGAAAACCCGAGAAAGTCGCCGGTCTTTGGCTCCGTTGCTAGGATACTGCGGCATCTGGTGACGCCCGCCTGGGCCGCTAGTTTGGTTGCTAGGGAAGACGTCGCAGGTGGCCTGCAGCTACACAGTTGTAGGGGAGACGTCCACTACACTACCCTCAAGTACGTACTTTATTACTTTATTAATAAACACAGACTTGAGGGGAGACTGTCACATTTTTAATAAATTTGTTTCTGATTATTTGTGAGAATATTTTCTCATTATCATTCATTTGTATGTGTTTTGTGTATGTGTTTATACACACACACACACACACACATACACACACACACATATATATATATATATATATATATATATATACAATACCGGTAAAATAAATAATTGTCGGAAGGGCAAACACATAAAGGGAATATACATTTCTTTGTACACAAGTAAACATGTACCCCACCCCCTGTCCTTTTGGCGATTCGCTGCCATTTTGAGAACTTAACCCCGGGGAATTTGGGGGCCCCCCTGTATATCACCTGTAGATATGTAAGACTACCGTGATGTTGAGTAATTTTGGTTTATAAATAACCATGAGCTTCGGAACACATTTGTATGTATATTTTTATTTAGGGGGGGGGGGTGGCTAGATTGGTTAATGAGCCAATCAGTGGCGAAGAGGATAAAACTAAAAGTAAATAGATGGGAGAAACACTATATTATAGCAAAATAAGCAATAAAAGATAGTACGTTTGAAGTAAAAAGTCGGGAAGATTACGGTAAGTAGTAGAGACATGATCCTGTGTGTACAGTATGCTGCTTAGTGGGTTCACGTGGAGGAAAGTTGGGAGGGGGGAGGGGGGGGGTAGATGACAGAATTTACCGCTAAGTTCTTGTAATCCTTGACTCTTTAAAATACATCTAAATAATGATAATGATACTGTAGGACAAAGAATTATAAATTAGCTTTTATATTTGGTAATGACATTATACCCTGTGCTTCTTAAATAGGGTGACGAAGCCTATAAGGGTTCCTGCTACAACTTCCCAGGATTCCCACTGTCATGGAATGAAGCCGAGGCTAACTGTGAGGCACAGAACTCTCACCTCTTAGTCCTCAATGACAGGTGAGGTTAATGGCATCAAATGAAATCAATTATCCTCTGGCAAATCTTCCTATATCTTGTTGTCTTTGCATGTGATTAAAATTAATAGATGCTACTATAGCATGCGGTCTGCAAAAAAATATTGTTAGTCTGACCTGACCCAACCTAACCGAACCTAACCTAACCTAACCTAACTTTAGCTAAATATCTTGTAGACTCACACTATAATAGCACAAATTAATGCTGTTTTATCATTATTTTAGCCTTATATTCAACAATAATCAGTAGGATTAAACTTATTTCTACATTAATATTATAGAGAAAACTTTTTTAATCTGTAATAATAAATACAGTACTATAATTATATTATAATGAAGAATTGCAGTGAAACATCCATATAATGAACCTCTCTCCATATAATCCGGTAGATGGGAGGGTCACATCTAACAGACCCTCGATGTGATGTACTTTCCTCTCTAAACTTGTCATTAAATAGAGGAAGTGGCACTTGAGACAATTATATTTTTTTCTAGATTTGAATCGGCTTACATATCAGCTTTCTTGGGGAATATGGGCACAAGAATTTGGATTGGACTATCTGGCACCATAGATGCTGGTGGGTCTGTCACCTTCTCCTGGGTCAACCATGATGCTATTGACTTCACTAATTGGAATGAGTTTGAACCAGGTCAGTAAAAGAAGAAAATTTCCACCAATCGGCAACAAACTCCACTGCTATTTACTGTAACACATAACTGGCATGTTTTTCACATTCACGTTATCTCTATTGATATTCGAATGAAACTTCCATATCGCAGATTTACCTCTCCATATAATTCACCAGATGAGGAGGTGTCACATTTAACGAACCCTTGATATAACAGATCATCTCTAGTTAGACGGAGGTTTTGCATCTAACGGACCCTCAATATAACGAACTTTCCTCTCCATCTAGTCCGTTAAATAGAGGTTTCTATCCTTTTGTATATGTTGTCTAATCATGTTGTCTATCTTTCAACTCTTAGAAAAAATAGTTAAATAATAAGAAGTGAAGTGAGGTAATCTCTATAATCTCTGTCTTGTATAGATCCAACCCATGGCACTTGTGTAGCAGCTTCAGGAATGATAACTAACCCCGGTCTGTGGACTGTGAGGGACTGTGATGACCACTTCCAGTTCATCTGTGAGTCACAGCAAAAATTTAACCTTTTTATTCTTAAGTTGTTTAGTAGACTTTGTTATGAAATTTAACTATCAAAAATTATTCTTTCATGCTGGTTGATTTACTAGGATTTACAAAAAAATAAAAAATAAATAAAATAAAACAATCTAAATTATGTTTACCTCTTCATCCTCTCTTAATGTTAGTGTAAATTGGTTCCAGGACTGATATACTATATTTCTGTTTCGCCCTCTCTAACCCTGATAACTTATTCCTCGTGACAATACATATTCTCCTATCTTCCACTGAACCAACTTTTAGCTAACTCTTGTCTCATGTTTAGTAAGACCACTAACACCACTATGCTAACTCATGCCTCGATTTCCAATAATACCACCAAACATGTGTAACTCCTTGCATAGGTGAATATGACCGAGAAGGATACACCACACCCACTATGCCATCAACCAAGCCTCCCATTGTCTACTGCGCTGAAGGTTGGACCCATCAGGGAGGCCGCTGCTATCAGGTAAGTCCAGGAGCCTTCGTTCTATCATGGTTTAGTTCTTACCCGAGAGAGAGACAGTGTACTGTGGGAAGGCTCCAGGCTATTAAAACCTCATAGTAACCTACTTGCCTCTTGTCACAAAGCAGTTAGATTATTAAGTTGACATCCCAGTACTGTGATAATAAATCAGTAGAAATTTCATCTTTGTAACACCATCTTAATTACTGCTTGTCTCTACTCAATCATTCGGAGTACCGCCCTCATATGTGAGGGTTGGCGACCACATTCCTCCAATCTCAATGTTCTTGGGCTGTTTTAACCAATCCTCTAAGGCTTTGTGTGACTCTGGGGACCCAGTTATTAATTTCATTCATCCATCCCAGTCTCTGCCTTCCTCTGGCCTTCCTACTCTCAACTTTGCCCATTATAATTTCTGTTATCCCCTCATCCCCAATTATATGACCAAAGTATCTACAGGAAACCAATTAAGTTATATACAACCTTGTACTTTAATACACTTTCTATCCACACGTCCTAATACAAGTGATGATACAACAGGTGTTCCAAGAGCCATTATCCTGGGGTGGAGGTGAACAATTTTGTGCATCTTTTGGTGCTCATCTGGCGAGTGTTGGCAGTGCTGTCGAGCAGGAACTCATAAAGGAGTAAGTACTGTACCACACTTTTATATGTCATTCCTGACAACCCAAACAGTTTTAAGTACAGTATTACCATATTAGTTTGTATACATATTTTGTATAGTTTTATCATTTGTTTTGATTATGATTGTAAATAATGTACAGTGAAACCTCCATGTAACGGACTTGTCTCTAAATAAAATCTGTTAGTTGTTGGTTTTCACAACTACCAGACCTCAATATAACGGGCTTTCAAATCAATATTTTTCGTTAAATAGAGGTTTCACAACTTTTATTCTCAATATAATGAACTTTCATATACAGTATATATATATATATATATATATATATATATATATATATATATATATATATATATATATATATATATATATATATATATATATATATATATATATATATATCTTGATAAAATCACACGGGAAGATGGAAACAACGGAGTACCTTAGCTTTCGTCTTTATTCAAGACATCTTCAGATGTCTTGAATAAAGACGAAAGCTAAGGTACTCCGTTGTTTCCATCTTCCCGTGTGATTTTATCAAGATTTATATATATATATATATATATATATATATATATATATATATATATATATATATATATATATATATATATATATATATATATATATATATATGGGAGTTTCACAACTAACAGACAGTCAATACTGTAGTGTACAACAAACTTTCCTCTCCATATAGTTTGTTATATAAAGGTTTTATTGGACTGTGGCTATCTTTGTAGTTAAATAATATAATTCACATAATATACTCTTACTTGTGACCAACACAATTACATTATTGAGTTGAGATAAACACTTGATTGATAGTTAAGTGATACTGTATTTGTCGAGGATATTCTGTCATATTCAATTATTTATGCATCACTATCTTCACAGACTTCCAGGGATGCATTATGTCAGCGACTACTACAACTCTGTCTGGGTTGGTCTAAAACTCGGCTCTGAATCAGGTATGATAGAACATTAATGCATAACAAGAATAAATGGTGATAATGCTGTGCTACAGTATTAATAGGACTAATTTATTAATATTATTATTACTGTACTAGTATTTATTATTATTATTATTAGTAGTAGTAGTAATATCTCCATTAACTGGAATCCTTCGTAACCGAAACTCTCTGGTACCCGTAAAATTCTGGGGATGGGGGATTTTTTCCTGGGTGTGACAGTTGTCTCCTTACCCGGAAATCTCTCATTCCCAGAAGTGCTCAGCACCAATTGTTCCAACTGCTTTTTTATTATTACTATTACTGTATTGTTATTAATAAGGTAATATTATTACCATTATTATTGTTGTTATTATTATTATTATTATTATTATTATTATTATTATTATTTTTATTATTATTATTATTATTATTATCATTATTTTTATTATTATTATTATTATTATTATTTTTATATTTTTATTATTATTATTATTATTATTATTATTACTAGTAGTAGTAGTAGTAGCAGTAGTAGTAGCAGTAGTAGTAGTAGTAGTAGTAGTAGTAGTAGTAGTAGTAGTAGTAGTAGTAGCCAGAAATATTATGAACGGGTAATGGAGGTTTGGAAGTGAAGTGAGGTCAAATACTAAGGACGGCCAAAGATACCAGCGTAGCACTGGCACTACTTGACTTCTGCATCTTGAGTATGTAGGAGTGAAAGGTGAATGGGAGCGGGGTTAGTGAAATCCAAGCTCTGTCTGAGATTGCTAACACAGAGCCACATGCGGCCTTTGCTGCATTCACCCATGGAGTAAAGATTCGTTGGAACTACCTGATGCGTACTATCCCTGATATCGGACCCCTCCTCCACCCTCTGGAAGAAGTTATCAGTGTCAATTTTATTCCTAAATTAGTGAAACACCCTGACTTAACCCCAGTAGAAAGAGCACTTCTTGCACTTCCATCAAGACTGGGAGGGATGGGACAAACCAATCCAGAGGAGATTGCTGCCACCGAACATCAAAATTCACTTAAGTTCACGGCAGCCCTCACGGACCACATAATAACCCAGAATGCAACAGGAGAGGTGGATACCAGTGAAGTAAATAAGATTCGTAGGTCCATTACAACAGATCGACAGCACTGCCAAAATGATAAGTTGCAGCAACTGTTGCTGCAGGTACCAGAAAATTTGAAAAAAAAGTAGCTATAGCGCAGGAGGTGGGCGCCTCGAACTGGTTAACTACGTTACCGATAAGGGCAAATGGTTTCAGTCTTAATAAACAAGAATTTACAGATGCCATTGCTCTAAGGTACAGTAGGCCAGTAGAAGGTTTGCTCTCCTAATGCGTGCGTGGCTCTTCCTATGATGGCGATCACGCCATGGTGTGCAAGAAAGGGGGCTTCATATGCATGAGGCATGACGAGGTAATGGACCTCACAACAAATATGTTGAAGGAAATCTGCCGGGATGTCATGGTAGAACCGACCCTCCTTCCATTGGATGGTGAGATCTTCCAACACAGGACTTCAAACACATCTAACGAAGCCCGTGTGGACGTCAGTGCTCGAGGATTCTGGACGCTGGGACAGCGAGCTTTCTTCGACATCAGGATTTTTGATCCCATGGCCGCATGTCACCGTAGCCTAGCTCTCGATGCTGCACATAGGAGGAACGAGAACGACAAGTGAAGGGCATATGGGGAGAGGATTCAAAACGTTGATCAAGGCAGCTTCACTCCTCTAGTGTTCACAACCTCTGGTGGGATGGGACCAAGTGCAAGATGTTTCTACGCCAGACTCGCGGAGGTGATCGAACAGAAGCAGCAGCCCAGAAGTTATGTTACAGCCTGGATGAGATGTCGACTGTCTTTCTCTCTCCTTCGGTCGGCTTTGCTCTGCCTCAGGGGAACAAGAGCTTCTGTCCCAACTCCGACAACTGCTGCAGATATTGACTATGAGGCTATTGTCACTGAATGCCGCATAGATCTGCGGCTCAACTAATTTAACACAGATAGGGTAGCTACTTATGTATTAGGATATTTAATATTAAGGTAATTAAATGGTGGCGAAGGTGTGGCTGTTGGGGGAGGCTGGAGGCCACGTTTAAAAAAAAAAAAGTAGTAGTAGTAGTACTATACTGTACGCCAGTATTATTATTATTATTGAATAGGTTATACTTATACTAGATAATTGAAACACTACATAATTGAAGCTGGTACAAATATAACCTTGGAGTCATGAGGCTAAAAAATAAGTAAGAGTTTTGAGGGTTGGTGATATGACAGTTGTCTGTCTTTAACAGTTTAGAAATTGGTGATATGACAGTTGTCTGTCTTTAACAGTTTAGAAGTTGGTGATGAAGGTTACTAGTGTGCCCTGAAGAATGCAGTGATGGCTAGGGAAACATTGAGTAACACTGAGTTCGTTTATTGTGGATGAGAGAAATACAAGTGGTGACGCTGTGTGCCATGCACAGCTCACGCAGTCAGACTGAGGCTGCCTTGCCATATGGCAGCCTCGGGGCAATGTTGCCACATAACACGTGCAGTGTTGCCACGTGATTATATATATAAATGCTACTCGGCACAGTAGCTTATGTACAGGGTTGCTACTCGGCACAGTAGCTTAAATACATAACCTACATCTCCCTCCCCCCTCACGCTCATAGTCTTTGTCTTGAGCGGACTTCTTAGTTCTAAGTCGCTCCGAGCGTCGAGGTGCACTGTGGGGCGGATCCTCGTGAGGTGTAGGTGACTCGTCCTCGGTCAGGGGGCCAGCAGCAGGGGGTGGGACTGGCCGGAGGAAGCGGCGGTTCCTCCACCAGACACGGCCGCTCGGCATCCTGACCTTGTAGTCCCGCGACCGGCCGACGCCCATCACTATGCCAACCTTGTGCCGACGTGTCATCGTCGGGTCCTGGACGCGGACAAGGGCACCAATCTCCAGCGGCTGAAGAGGGCGGGCACGGTCGTCATACCGAGCCTTGGCGTCCTGGGCACGTGTAGCGGTGCGGCGGTAGCAGCTCTCGGCTCTGGTCTGCCAGTCCTTCGCAAAGGCCTTGGTGTGTGCAGGAACGCAAGAGCGGAGAGGGTGACCATACAGGGTCTGGGCAGGGGTAGCCCTGGGGCGTGTGGTCGATTCCACCCTCCTGATGTGACTCCGCTGCTGCTTGGGGCTGCGTGGGCCATCTGGAGGGGGCTGTGTGCGAACCACCCCGAGGGAAGTGCGCTGCTGTCCTCCTCGTCTCGGGCTTTTGGGCTTGGGTTGGCGGCAGCACTTGTCGTAGTGTCCATAGCGACCGCAGGCCTGACACTTGTGGCCTCGTGCAGGGCACCTGTCTGTGTTAGACCAGTGGCCCTTACGGTCACATCCACGACACAGTGCGTCGGCGGCCGGGCAAGTCTTGGGGCTGTGCTGCTTTCCACAGCTGCCACAGGAAGCACTAGGCGGAGGCGTGGAAGAACGTGTGGCAGCCTTCGCGTTGTTGGCCGCCTTCTTATCCTTCTTGTATTGTGAAATAGCTCTCACAGCAGGTGGGGCCCATAAGGCAGAGGTGGCGGACTTGGTGGCCTCGTATGACCGACATTCAGTCACTACCACCTGGAGTGTGGAGGAAGCGTCCAGGGGGATGAGTCGCTGCATCAACTCTTCGTGCCTGACACCTGTCAAGATCCCGTGCTTGATCCAGGCTTCCTCACATTCCCGGCTGTGCGCCTTGCAGACGTCGATCTCCTCTGACAAACTCTTCAAACGTACAAAAAAGTCGTCAAAGGATTCGTTCTCCGCCTGCTTGCAGCTGGTAAAGGCACGGCGACGCAAAGCCTCGTTGTTCCGACCCTTAACATGCTCCTGTAAAAGGTCGAGCACATCCGTCACTGAAGAGGTAGAATCGGGAGGCACTCGCAACGTGTGCTCCAAAATTCTCTGGGTCTCCAGCGACAAACACATCCGCAGTTGGATGAGCTGTTTGTTTGGAGGCATGCTGTCAAGGTCCACCATCGTGGAGTAATCTGTCCAACGCCGCCTCCACTCACGAAAAAGCTGAAACGTGACGTCTGGTGAGAGGGCGGGTGGGGGTTGAACAGATGCCTTGGGAGCTGGAGGACGCTGGTGTGGTGGAGGAGGGAGTGTACTGGTGCCTTGAAGCGCGCTACCTGCGAGTGAGGGAGGGTGGGTTAGCGCCAGGGTCGCCAATAGTGCCTCAAAACGCAACTTTTCCTCTTCTCTTCGTGTCTCCTCCCTCTGAAAATCCATTTCTCTACGTCGCTCGTCCCGGTCGTCCATCCACCTCAGAATTGTGGCGATGTCCGTCACAGGAGGTGGAGGATGAGAGTCTGCGCCGGGTGGAGGGGAAGGTGGTGGGGAGTCGTGTCTCCCATCTTGACGTTGTCCCTTCTTACCTCCCATCTTTGTGTGTGCGTGGACTGCACTGTTTAATATATAAAGTGGCGCCTCAACAGCTCGAACCACATATATAAGACATAAACAGCACAAAAATCACGCATATGGTCCAGGTCCACTGTCCTGTCCGTGAGTGAGTGCGTGCGTGCGTGCGTGCGTGTGTGTGTGTGTCTCAGAGAGCGGAGGGAGCGTGGACAGCTGCGTGGTCCGGCAAGACCGTCAGTGTCCCCCGGATGTCGCACGAGAAGGGTATACGCCTGCGTGCTCCGTGGGTACCACAAAAAAAAGACAGGCCAATGCTCAACTCAGCTCTAGACACACACTAATACACTGACACTAACACTGGCACCGTCACTAAAACGCACTGTGACGGAGCAACACTGCACATCGCGGCAAAACACAGCGCAACACAACACAACACACTGAGTCGACGCGCATCACCGGCAGACGTAACTGTCGGCATTGTTCACACACATTGTAAGTCCACAGATCCTAGACACTGCGCCATGAAGGTTACTAGTGTGCCCTGAAGAATGCAGTGATGGCTAGGGAAACACTGAGTAACACTGAGTTCGTTTATTGTGGATGAGAGAAATACAAGCGGTGACCAGCATGACAGTTGTCTGTCTTTACCAGTTTACAAGTTGGTGATATGACAGTTGTCTGTCTTTAACAGTTTAGAAGTTGGTGATATGACAGTTGTCTGTCTTTACCAGTTTAGAAGTTGGTGATATGACAGTTGTCTGTCTTTAACAGTTTAGAAGTTGGTGATATGACAGTTGTCTGTCTTTACCAGTTTAGAAGTTGGTGATATGACAGTTGTCTGTCTTTAACAGTTTAGAAGTTGGTGATATGATAATTGTTTGTGTTTAGTATGAGAACCTGTGTCTGTATTCACAATGAGAAATTGTGTCTGTCTGGGATCAAGATTTCCTTCTTCCCAGGCTACGAGTGGACAGATGGGACGCCTTTTGATTATGTAGACTGGGCAGAGGGACAGCCAGACAGCCAATATTACAGGGAGAACTGTGCTTCAGCTAACATGGACACCTTCAAACTCTCCGACTGTGTGTGTGATGCCCATCTGCCCTATGTGTGTGAGGCTGAAGAGGGTACGTCATGTGTTACTCTGTTTCTATTGTGTATTACTAAAGCCATTTCAATAAACTCCTCAGTCAAATTTGTAACATATCTCGCCATCAGGCTAATTTTTTTTCCAAGTGATTAGTTCCCCTGGTGGCCATTTTAAATACTTTTTTTGCTGTTGTTGTTGTTGGTAACTGACTCCAGATTTGGTACATATAACAATGGGATTACTGTATACAGTGTGTTGCATAATGTTTCAGAATGACAATACTAGGTGACAGACAATACCATTCCATTCCCCATTCTACAAATTACCCAGTTCCATCTTTCTTAAGTTTTACATAATACTCTATCTATTTCTACAGGATCAATGATAACAACAATAGCGCCCCCAACCGTGACTCCAGATGTAATGTGTGATGACTCTACTTGGTATCTGTATGACAACCACTGCTACAAGTTCATTTCTGCCTCTGATGAAGAGCCCCAGACCTGGTGGGAGTCCCATAGACGCTGTCGAGACGAAGGAGCTGACCTGGCATCCATACACTCCTTTGAGGAAAATTACTGGATTGAGTCAAAGGTACATTATCTGGCTGCAGTAGTGCACGCAGGACATATATGTGGGTTGTCCTTGTGTGTGTTGTGTGAGGGTGTCTGGGGGGAGGAGGAAGGGAGCGTATGTGTATGCATGTGTGTAAGTATGCATGTGTGTGTGTGTGTGTGTGTGTGTATACTGTATATGCATGTGTATATGTATGCTTGTGTGTGTGTATGTATGTGTGTGTATGTATGTGTGTGTATGCATGTGTGCGTATGCATGTGTGTGTGTGTGTGTGTATACTGTATATGCATGTGTATATGTATGCTTGTGTGTGTGTATGTATGTGTGTGTATGCATGTGTGTGTATGTATGCATGTGTGTGTATGCATGTGTGTGTGTGTGTGTATATCCATGTGTGTGTGTGTGTGTGTGTGCATGTGTGTGTGTGTGTGTATGCATGTGTGTGTATGTATGCATGTATGTGTGTGTATGCATGTGTGTGTGTGTGTGTGTGTGTGTGTGTGTGTGTGTGTGTGTGTGTGTGTGTGTGTGTGTGTATGCATGTGTATGTGTGTGTGTGTATGCATGTGTGTCTGCATGTGTGTGTGTGTGTGTGTCCATGTGCGTGTGTATGCATGTGTGTGTGCATGTGTGTGTATATCCATGTGTGTGTGTGTGTATGTATGTGTGTGTGTGTGTGTGTGTATGCATGTATGTGTGTGTAAAATGTGTGTATGTGTCTGCATGTGTGTGTGTGTTTGCATGTGTGTGTCATGCATGTGTGTGTGTATGTGTGTGTGTGTGTGTATGCGTATGTTTGTGTATGTGTGTGTATGTGTGTGTAAGCGTGTGTGTGAGTATGTATGTGTGTGTGTGTGTGTGTGTGCGTGCGCGTGTGTGTGTATGCGTGTTTGTGTATGCGCGCGTGTGTGTGTGTGTGTGTGTGTGTGTGTGTGTGTGTGTGTGTGTGTGTGTGTGCGTGTGTGTGTATGTGTGTGTGTGTGCGTGAGTGTGTTTGTGACAACTCGCCATTTTTTCACCATGTCTCAGAGCCAACTTCATCATTCAATCACCCTATTAATATCTTATAAATGACTCCTCTAACTTTTCCTAATGTGTGATCATCATGTGAAGAGTCTGCCACATCTGTCAAAATTAACTTATCCCTTGAATATTAAATCTTATGAACAATATTTATTTTTCTGCTTCAGATATTTGAACTTTCTGATAACATTCTGTGGGTTGGAGGACGAGCAAACGTAGACTCAGGGTATGATTGGGTCGACGGCTCTCCATTCGATTTCGACAACTGGGCCAAAGGGGAACCTAACAACTTTATGGGTGAGACCTGTCAAGTCTTGGTGTATTTGCAGATCATTTTGTTTACATTGTTATTTTGTTGCAACTATAGCATGTGATCTGCAAGATATTTAGATTAAGTAAGGTTAATGAAGGTTAATTTAGGTTAGGTAAGGTTATGTTAGTTTAGATTAAGTCAGGTTAAGTAAGGTTAAGAAAGGTTATGTTTGGTTATGTAAGGTTACGTTAGGTTACGTTAGACTACAGATATCTTTGTATACCGCTCGCTTTAGTTACACCGTTATTTCATGTATGGATCAAATAATAGAGATATTGGACTGTTGTCTTTCATTTATTATGAAATTTAATAAATACTCTTAATATAATTCCCCTTGTAAAGCAGTCATTGAATAGGTCATGATAATAACCTTTATGCTGGTCATAGTAATGTGACCAGGGTTGTGGATGAGAGAGAGAGAGAGAGAGAGAGAGAGAGAGAGAGAGAGAGAGAGATATTAACAACTTAATATCTGTAATACCCATAGACCAAGAGGATTGCATCGCCCTTTACACTCACCAACAAGGCTACTGGAACGACCAGAACTGTGCCAACAAGGAGGGTCGAGTGTGTAAGCGCCTGCACGGTAAAACGCTCCCCCCTGTGCACACCACTAAGGTCCCTGACGGTCACTGTCCCCAGGGATGGTTCCATACTGGTGAGTCTACTTCTAGCTAAACATCAAACTTACAAATATTTTTTTTTTATGTATCCTCTTCTTTCAACTGAGTTAATTTGACACCGTACAACAGGAGATCCTCACAATTAGAATATTGCAATACTCAAAAGTGTTAAATATTTAGGATCATCTCACACACGAACAGTTATCCACACTACACAGCTACACATTACATTCTAAAAGTACATTTATGTTCTGAAAATAAATTGAACCACTTAAGTTCTATCAATTTTTATTAAAGCAGCACAATAATATGCTTTAATTCTTAACTACATTGCATTTGATTTAATTACTCAACACAAGAGCAGGGGAAGACTTATTGTGGGAAAGTTTGATTGATAGTTGTCACATTGTCGTTTATACTAAGGTCAGGCAGGACTGGAGTACTGTCATCCTCGTCTGGTCCCTGAGATATACCAAGAGACTGTCAGTTGATTAAGAACGTCCAAAGAGGGCTACCAGACTGGTGCCTGCACTATGGCATCTCAGTTTCCCAGAGAGATTAGAACACTTGCAGTTGCCTAGCTTATACTGTAGGTGGGCAAGAAGTGACTTAATTGAAATTTTACAAGCACTTCAGAGGACTTTACTCAGTCAAGTGTTCATATCTGAAACTAGCAGATGCCCACCCTACTAGAGGGCACTCTTTTGGAATATGTGTTGTGGCAACACCGAGTGTGAGTTTATTTGTGACCTGACTTGACCAACACTGGCACAGGTACAAATATATTCAGTATTTGCCCAGTACTTGCCAACAGTGCGTAACCGAGACGTGACCAACCACCCTCGCGGCTAACGAGCCGATCAGTGGGGAAGAGATAAAGTAAAGACATCCCATCTCACTCTGCAGACTACATAATCCAATGGTTCGGTTTCAGTGGTCAAAGTCATTGACTTACTAAATAGTAATACGTCGGTCGAGTGGATACAGCGCTCTCCTCCTGTTCCAGGGGTTGGTGGTTCGATCCCAACTCACCCAACTATAAATGAGCACCTAAGTTTACAACTTGGGAAGTGAATCAGTCGAGTGTAGTACCGGCCATGATGCCTCCTTGTGTACCGAAGGCTTAGTAAACAGTGTGCTGTATCCACAATGTCATGTCTGTGGGTCCCACTCCCACAGTCTTGAGAACATCATACTGTTATGGACAAACTATTGATTAAGGAATATATACTCGGCTGACTCTTTCGTTTTCCTATTTTCTCTTTTATATCGTTACCTCTTCTATTTCAAGAACATTGATTTATTGTTTCATAATTATTTATGTCGCATTCTGCAGGTATCAAATGCTTGCAGCTCTTCACTGAGAAGAAGAACTTCAGTCATGCCCGGGCATCTTGTAAACAGCTTGGTACTGATGTTGACCTGGCCAGCATCCACTCGCCAGCTGAACAAGGTGAGTCAGTGTCAATTAATTTTATTTTATTTTTTGGGTAATTATATGGGACTAACCCGCGGCCGAAATTGATTGAAAACGTTTATAATAACGCCGGAATTTTACTGTAATTTTATAGTGGACACTGTTGTAGTTTGTACAACTGTGTTAAAAAAATGGATATTTTTAAAATAATCTTTACTTAACATTTGTGGGGATGAAGAACAGACCTAACCAAACAAACCTACCTAACCTTACTCAACATTCTCACCGAACCCCCCGGACCCCCCCCCGGTATATTAAACAGAAAGAACCTACTTTGATATAGTGAAATTTGAGGCATGTTTTAGACGTGTGATTATGCGGGCGCTTAAGGAGCCCGGGCGGTGGAGTGATTTACTGTGATGGCGGGAAACGTCGAGCCACGGCGTCGAGGAAGTGTTATTTCACAATATTTGTGTAAAATACTCCCGTAAAAGAAAAACTAAATAAAATCATAACACTGGGCTGAATCATGGTGTTTTCAAGCCAAGTTCCTTTATATCGACTGGAACTGTATCCATGCACAACGCTCCAGCCGTTTGTTTTTCTTGTTTATAATTTTCTTATTACATTGAAACTATTTTTTTCCGGTTTGAAAGCGCAGGGATTCCAACAGTGTGGACAGTCTCTATCTAAAGGAATAATGCCGTAATCTTTAAACAATTGAAAGCTCTTGTTGTCTTTACCCGTAAATTCGCAAATTACGTCCATGCCGCGATGCCGGCGACAACCTTCACACGACATGCTGAAAAATAAACTGCCCCGGGGCAGTTCCGGGCCTCATTACCGCCCGGAAGACAAACTAGTGCGTGCCTAGGCGTCGAATTATCTATGAAACGAAACATGTGTACAATAAATGATTATCATATCAGAACTCACTGATGAAAATAATCTAAGAAAATAAACAGTAATAAAAATACTCGTCCGCGCGTTAGTCCCATATATTAACTTTTTTTTTACATTAACTTGTGATAAGTCTCGTCAATACAGGTGTTGTTATACTTGACCTTCTCTCACACAGTTTCTCTTGACAGTTCACTTCCTCCCTGTGGTTTAGCTGAAAATTTAGTTCTTCCATACAGCCTATCAGTGTTTCCTTTTTATTTCCCTTGTAATGTGACAGCTTTCATATTTCTCATTCTGTCTAAGATCTTCCCACAGCCCTCTGACAGCTCCCCTCTTTTCTCACAGCTTACCTGACAGCTGCTCTCTTTTCCCACAGTCTAGCTGACAGCTGTCCTCTTTCTTCACAGCCTTGCTGACAGCTGTTCTCTTTCCCCACAGCCTTTCCGACAGCTGTCCTCCTTCCACCTAGCCAATCTGACAGCTGTCCTCTTTCCCCACAGTCTAACTGACAGCTGTCCTCTTTCTCCACAGCCTATCTGATAGCTGTCCTCTTTCTCCACAGCCTACCTGACAGCTGTCCTCTTTCTCCACAGCCTATATGACAGCTCCCCTCTTTCCTCCCGGCCTATCTGACAGCTGTCCTCTTTCTCCACAGCCTACCTGATAGCTGTCCTCTTTTGCCTATCTGATAGCTGTCCTCTTTCTCCACAGCCTCTCTGACAGCTGTCCTCTTTCCCCACAATCAAACTGACAGCTGTCCTCTTTCCTCCCAGCCTATCTGACAGCTGTCTTCTTTCTCCACAGCCTACCTGACAGCTGTCCTCTTTCTCCACAGCCTACCTGACAGCTGTCCTCTTTCTCCACAGCCTACCTGACAGCTGTCCTCTTTCTCCACAGCCTACCTGACAGCTGTCCTCTTTCTCCACAGCCTACCTGACAGCTGTCCTCTTTCCCCACAGTCTAACTGACAGCTGTCCTCTTTCCCCACAGCCTACCTGACAGCTATCCTAGGTACAATGGAGGTCAACGTCTGGTTGGGGTTGAGGTATAGCCAAACTTTTCAGTGGGTCGACCAGTCAACTTTGACCTACACCAACTGGGCCTCAGGTGAACCCAACGGAGCATTACATGGGGTAAGTTGAGGTCAGGTTAGGGTAAGTCAGGTCAGGTTAATTTACATTAGGATAAGTCAGGTTATGTTAAGTTACGATAGATTAGGTTAGGTTACATTAGATTAGGTCAGGTCAGGTCAAGTTACAATAGGTTTGATTAAGTTAGATTACATTAGGTTAGAATAAGTTAGGGTACATTTGGCTAGCTTAGGGTAGGATAGGTTAGGTTAGGTTAGGATAGTTTAAGTTACATTAGGTTAGGATAGTTTAAGTTACATTAGCTTACATCAGTTTAGGATAAGTTGGGTTACACTAGGTTAGGATAGGTTACATTAGGTTAGGTGAGGTTTTATTAGATTAGGCTAGATGATGTTTTCCCTTTGTCACCCAATAAGTTTCTTGCAACAAAACTTTACAGTAATTTTTTTTAATGATATTTAAATTCGCTAACCTTTAAATTGATTGATTGATACGTTTATTGAGATACAAAAATCATTAATACATCTCAAAGGGATGAAGTGACATAAGTCATCCCCACCCCAGTCCAGGAATGTCCCTCTCAGGACTCACATAAATCCCTAATATTTCATATAATCAGTTATATACTGTACATACATAGTTATATTCTAGATGCAAAATTTCTATATTTCTTTAATATTTCATCTATTTTCCCATTTCCAAACATCCACTCTATTTGCATGGGGACATTATTTATATGGGCATTTCTATATACATTAAGCAATGGGCATTCCAGTATATAATGTGGCAGGGTATGGGATCTGGATGTTCTACAAACTCTACATTCTTTATCCTGTTCACTTCTCTCAGCTCCAATAACCTTTAAAGGTGATGAATTTAATGTGACGATAATGTTGATGTTTTGATGTGATGATAATATTGATGTTTTGATGTGATGATAATGTTGATGTTTTGATGTGATGATAATGTTGATGTTTTGATGTGATGATAATGTTGATGTTTTGATATGATGATAATGTTGATGTGATGATAATGTTGATGTTTTGATGTGATGATAATGTTGATGTTTTGGTGTGATGATAATGTTGATGTTTTGATGTGATGATAATGTTGATGTTTTGGTGTGATGATAATGTTGATGTTTTGATGTGATGATAATGTTGATGTTTTGGTGTGATGATAATGTTGATTTTTTGATGTGATGATAATGTTGATGTTTTGGTGTGATGATAATGTTATGTTTTGATGTGATGATAATGTTGATGTTTTGGTGTGATGATAATGTTGATGTTTTGATGTGATGATAATGTTGATGTTTTGATGTGATGATAATGTTGTTTTGATGTGATGATGATGTTGATGTTTTGATGTAATGATAATGTTGATGTTTTGATGTGATGATGATGATGTTTTGATGTGATGATAATGTTGATGTTTTGATGTGATGATAATGTTGTTGTTTTGATGTGATGTGCAAGTGACAAGTTCAAGGATTGTGCTGAAGGTCAAGAACTGTGATAGTTGGTTGACTTTATGAATCCACAATGAAGGTTACTTTGGTTATGCCACCTGAAGCGACCTGTAGGCTAGTTTGCCGGGAAACCTATCCTATTCTTGGCTAACTTATATGCCGTTCTAGCGTTACAACGTAGGTATAAGAACAGAAGAATGGAGGAAACTGCAGCCGCTCCGTATATTTCCTATATCGGAAATTTACTGTACAGTATATGGTAATATGTCAGACCATGCTAAATTATGTATCAGTGAATCCAGACCAGGTATATAAAAACCGTGTAAACTGAGGGCCAATTGTAATTTTATGGGTAATATTATTGAGGTAATAATTCTGTAAGTTGTGTATTCATTTTGTCACCCAAGAATTATCTTTGATTATAACCAAGATCTAGAATTATTATTGCCAAAACACGTCGACCTCTTACTGTGGCTCGTTTAATATTGTTAAAAAGGCCATCACTAATATTAATGTTGAAGTCCTTCTCATGTACTGTGCATATCATTTATTTAGTTATTTTTTAATTAAACATGAATTAGACATTATGCACTAGATCCCATGAAGCAGTTTCATCATAAATTTGTTCAATGATTTGGAATCCATTAAACAAGATCACCTGACATTCCTTTGGAACTATGAACCCAGTTCCACTAAACGGCATCACTCCTAATTCCTTGTCACACGCACTAGACCACTTTCCTACGGATCCTGATGCAAGAGAACGGTGAAGACTGCGTGGAGATGATGACCCAAAACCAAGCCGGACTTTGGAACGATGTGAATTGTTCTTCCAAGAATGGATATGTGTGTCAGAGACCACAGGGTAGGTGACCTGGCAGTGCTAAGACCTCCTGGATTGCATGAACAAGTACTAACAGAGGCTTGGCAAGTATGGAAGGTTACGAGTGATATTCATTTGCTTTAGTATGTACAGTCGGGAACAAAATTTCACTCCTGTGATGAAACTGTCACGAAATGAATCTCCGAACTGACTTACCCTGTCTGTTTCATCTCATTTGGGGTCAATGCTGCTTCATTTTGGGCAGGAGCGAACTTTGACCCCTGACTGTACAGTATTCCAAAGGTGCATGATGATACAACCTTCTGTCACAAGTACTTGTTTGGATGTATACCTGCACTGGCAATTTACATGGAAGATGCAGGGGATTTCAGTTTTCCTGGCCATGTGCATACTTTTGACTTGTTTAAACATGTACTATAAGGACTTAGAAGGTGCGTGGAAAGATAGGTTTTCCTGTCAAAAGTGCAAAATATACACTACATATTCACACTATATGCTTATAAGGACTTAAAAGTTCATGGATAGATTGGACTTCTTGACAGGAGTGCATAATGATGTTCCTTTGATTAACAATATACCTCAAGAACTTTGAAGATGTGGGGAGTGGGAGTTCTTGCTGTATACGCTTGCTGTATCTTGCTTGTACTGTACATCCATTAATGAAGAATTTGCCTAAAGTCATGCATGATGATACTAACTTGAGCATGTACAGTACTAACAATATATTAAGAGGACCCGTGGTGTACAGGATCAATGAACTAGTGTGTGATTGAAGGTATCAGACCACCACATGTTTTATCATGATTAAAGTATATTATCCTTATCTTACCTTGCCTTATCCTCTTCACCACTGATCGGCTGCCTCGCTGCATATGTACTGTTGACATGAACCGGGCATACACTGGCTTTCCACTGTACCAGAACATGCACCTGTGTTTATCAAGTCAGGTCTTAAATGAGCACACACTTGGTGTCACCACAACACACACTGGCAGGTTATTCCAAAAGTTCACAACTCTGTCCAAAACAAGTTTGTCCTGCCAATTTTCCGAACTTGTGGGTTTTTTAACCTGAGACTTTGACCCTAGTGAGGCAGGGATCCGCCAGCTCCAGGTATGAACACTCGATTGCGTTATGTCATCTGAGGTGTTTATAGACTTCTATTAAGTCAACCCTTCCCTGCCTATAGTAACTGCAGGCATTCTAATCTCTCTGGGAAACTAAGGTACCATAGTGCAGGCACCAGTCTGGTGGCACTCCTTTGGACATTTTTTCTTTTTAAAATATTCGCCACTTATCAGCTTATTAACCGCTTGGGCAGTTTATCCAGTGTTAGTACAGGAGGAAACCGGGAAACCTGTGGTGTTTGGTAGTGAGGGTCATACTGGATAACACCCTTCGCACGTGTGTCCGGGCCGAGGCTCGAACCCTTGACACATAGGTGAGAGTTATGCGCGTTACTGCTGTACCTAACAGTCTCCAGCATATACCGGGGGCCAGATAGTATTCCAAATGCCAAATGGGGAAGTACTTCACTTTGGAAGAACGTTATGAGAGATTGACCATCTAGGTATGTGAACAGCCTTCTCACAACAGTCCGAGAACTTCAGTTTATTGTCAACACACACACACCCAGGTCTTCTCCACATTTGGTCCCAGTTAATGATGTTTCTTCGCCACGCTGGGACATTTGATGTGACTCCTTACTGTTGGTACAGCCTATATGTATCCTCTTCCATTCTGCAACATAGAATCCTAACAGTCATTTCTCTGATCACTTCTGAAGCTGACAGAGATCCTACAGTAATTCTTCTCACTTTGGGTCAGAGCTCTTATGAACCTTGAGCTTTGGTAATTTGGTTCTTAAACATACTTTTCAGATTCACTATTATTGCTATGTTTACATCCTCTCTTGTGAACATTGAAGAAAATAATTTATTTTACGCCATCGCCTTGTCTTGATCTAAGTCTGCGTAACTATCAACCTCAAGCATCTGATCTGATACACCCACGCGTGTCTTTAATTTCTATCTTGCGTAACGGCATAAAGACTTAGGGTTTAATTTGACTTCATCAACAATCCTCTTCTGAAACTGTTTTTCAGCTCTTCTAGATTTTGACTTGGCTTGGTTCCTTGACCTGGCATACAGCCCTCTGTCCTGCTCATCATTTGTCGCGACCCAGCTCTTGAAAGTCTGTAACAACCTACTCGTATATCACTATTTTCAACACTTATCACCTTTATAGCCGTTCGGGCGGTTGGTCTTTGTTATACTGTACTTTGTTATGACCTTTACTGTCCAGTGTTAGTGCAGAAGGAAACTAGAGTACCTGCCATGCTTGGTTGTCTCATACTGGATAACAGTCTTCTCATATCTGTCCCAGGATGGAGTTAAACTTAGAACACAACGATTGATACGAATTACATGTCCTTTTCACATATCCGTTAAGACATTGTTACATAACTATTTGACAAATTTCATAACTGAATGACAGAACACATATCGAATGACAATCTAAAATAACTGTTCGTTTATGCTAACGGAAATGATTGACATAAGTTATGAAGTTGACAGACGTGAACAATAACCGACAGTCTACATATAGTTTGAGAATGTAACAATTGGAGAATGACATACTACCAACAGTTACAGTATTTTTGATTGTCATTCGATATGTGTTCTGTCATTCAGTTATGAAATTTGTCAAATAGTTATGTCACAATGTCTTAACGGATATGTGAAAAGGTGTATTCTTTATTATTATTATTGTTATTGTTATTATTATTATTATTATTGTTGTTATTGTATTGTTATTTTTGTTATTATTGTTATTATTATTAATGGAAGGGGCCTCATCAGCTAATAATATCTTGCCCCCAAGGCTAACAGTGTATGTAAACTGTAAGTAAAATGTACTGTACAGGTAATTTATTAGCATTTCGTGCATGTGAACTATTACGGGTTACAATGAAACCTCCAAATAACGGACTTCTCTTTCCATACAATCCGCTAGATGGAGGTTTCACATCTAATGGACCCTCGATATAACTGACCTTTCTTTCCAAATACTGTAGTCCGTTATTGTATATTCTCATGCATGATTTACAGCTGTTACCTTTAAGCTTTTAGTAAACTTTAAACTTGTGTTATGTGCGGTAATAGAACCATCTTGTGTTATGCTTATTTATCAGCCATTTTAAACTGCATCCTGCTTACTTGAATTCACAGGAAGATTGTGTTCATGCTTATTTTCCAAATGGCGAGTGGAATGACATAGACTGTTCTAATGAGTACGGTTACATCTGCATGATGCTGCAAGGTATGTTATAGTTTATCCATTTTTACGGGACTGTTTTCTTTCTTAATTGTTAAGTAAGAATTGTGCAGACTGCATATTATATCTGCAAGCATGATAATAGTTATACAGTGAAACTTTTATATAAGGTAGTTCTCTATCCATATAATCCATTAGATTGAGGTTTCACATTTAACGGAACCTCGATATAATGGACTCTCCTCTCCATATAATCCATTAGATTGAGGTTTCACATTTAACGGAACCTCGATATAATGGACTCTCCTCTCCATATAATCCATTAGATTGAGGTTTCACATTTAACGGAACCTCGATATAATGGACTTTCCTCTCCATATAGTCCACTAATTAAAGGTTCCACATTTAACGGACCCTCGATATAATGGACTTTCCTCTCAATATCGTCCGTTAACTAGAGGTTTCAGTGTATGCTCCGCTTTAGCCAATATTTACTCAGCAGTACCAAATGACTAATACAAATTGACTGTACTGTATATTGCTTGCTCCTCTTCACCTCATGTACCAATTCCTTCCCTTTACACACACACACACACACACACACACACACACACGCACACACACATAAGAACATAAGAACATAAGAATGGCGGAAACTGCAGCGGGCCTATTGGCCCATACTGGGCAGTCCCGTTTACACCCAACCCCTATTGCTCATATAAGTATCCAACCTATGTTTGAAGCTATTCAGCGTATTCGAGTTAATGATGATATTTGGTAACTTGTTCCATTCATCCACTACTCTGTTTCCAAACCAATGTTTACCTATTTCACGCCTACGTAAATCTAAATTTGTCTAATTTAAAACCATTGTTACTAGTTCGGTCCTGGTTGGATAGTTTGAGTACCTTTGTAATGTCCCCTTTGTTTAACCCTGACTTCCACTTATACACCTCTATCAGGTCGCCCCTCGCTCTACGTCTCTCGAGGGAGTGCAAATTAAGATGCTTTAACCTGTCTCTATACTCAAGGTTCCTAATGCCCGGGATTAGTCTTGTCATTCTCCCCTGAATTCTTTCCAATGATTCTATATCCATCCTGTAATACGGTGACCAGAACTGAACTGCGTAATCCAGGTGTGGTCTCACAAGCCCAAGATACAGTTTTAGGATGACCTCGCTAGTCTTGTAACTAACACTCCTTTGTATGAACCCAAGTACTTTATTAGCCTTGTTACGAGCAAAAACACATTGTTTACTTGGCTTGAGGTTCCTACTTATCATTACTCCTAAATCTCTCTCGCAGTCGGATTTCTCTATGGCATCGTTGTTCATCTGGTATCTGCTTTCCCTGTTTACATCTCCTATACTGAGTACTTTACATTTGTCCACGTTGAATTTCATGTGCCATTTTTCAGACCATTCGAAAAATTTGTTTAGATCTTCCTGTAGTTTTGCTGAGTCCTCGTCAGATTTAATAACACCTCCTATTTTAGTGTCATCAGCAAATTTACTTATGTTGCTGTCTATGCCGATATCTATGTCGTTTATGTATTTAATAAATAATAATGGTCCAAGTACTGAGCTTTGGGGAACTCCACTTGTGACGTTGCTCCAATGGGACTTAGTGCCATTAATGCTCACTCGCTGTTTCCTGTCCTGTAACCACGCCCTAATCCATTTAAGGATGTTACCTTTGATGCCATGTGCTTCTACCTTTCTAATTAGTCTTTCGTGGGGGACTCTGTCGAAGGCTTTGCTAAAGTCGAGATATATCCCATCATAATTGTGCCCCTCGTCCACCGGTTCGAAAACTGATGAAAAGAATGTTAAGAGATTAGTTAGACAAGAACCTCCACTTGTAAAGCCATGCTGGGAATCATTGATCAATCGGTGCTTCTCCAGGTGATTTCGTATAGAGTTTGAAATGATTGCTTCCAGTAATTTGCCTAATATTGATGTTAGACTGATTGGGCAGTAGTTAGAGGATAGTGATCTATCCCCCTTCTTGAAAATCGGTATTACATTCGCTATCCTCCAGGATTCTGGTACTACACCTGTTTTTAAGGACATGTTATACAACTTTGCTAAGGGCATACTAAGCTCTTCCTTACATTCCCTTAATACTCTGGCAAATATCTCATCGGGACCAGGTGACTTATTGGGCTTTAGTTTGTCTGTTTGCTTACTAACATCGTTACTAGTCACTACTATCTCGCTTAATTTGTTTTCTTCACTATCTCTAAATAGAGTCGGTGCCTCGGGTATCATGTTTAAATTTTCTGTGGTGAAAACTGTTGAAAAATATTTATTCAAATTATTGCTCATTTCTCCGTCGTTATCAGTGAGCTCGCCGGTATCTGACCGTATTGGTCCAATCTTTTCTCGTGTTTTAGTTTGATACATTTGGTAGAATCCTTTGGGGTTTGTCTTCGCCTCCCTTGCTATCCTAACCTCATTATTCCTCTTGACTTTCCTTATCTCGGTTTTAACCCTACTCGCCAATGTAATGAGACAGAATAAACAGAGAAGAAGATATTATATATAAGTAAGAATAGAGAGTAGGAATGTAAAGATAGGAAACTTGGTAGCGTGGCTGGGATGTTATTTACTCAGCGTCAATCCGCTTATCTTATCTCGTATGTCAATACACATATATCACTTCTCAAAGGGACAATTTGTTAAACACCTCCTTGATACAACCATTTATTAATTCACTCAATGACATGGACACATTAATATCACTATTATATCGGGGTACTAACACATTATGCTTTACGTTACTTGACACTGACTCTCGGACACACCTGAATGAATACACTTCCCACAGAAGGTAACTCACCCTAGGACGTTCTGACAAGACTCACGTGTACCCTGACGTAGGCCCAGTGAGTGCTGGGTAGGCTGCCTCCTATGGGAGAATCTGCTTAGCTGGCGATGCCGTGGTCTGGTCGGGAGGTCTCCCTCCCGACCTGGGGAGGGGACGTGCGTGACTCTGCTTAGTGAACCGAGTGCCGACCCGAACGGGAGAGAGATGACAGCAACCACCATGAGAATCAGTATGACCAGAATACGGAGGATAATGCCCGTGGACGGGACTGTGGGGCCTTTATATGGGGTCGACCCAGCCGGCTCTGACCTCTGCCAATTAACACTAAACTGGTTTGATCTGGATAGCTGTGTGCAGGTGTGGTCCTGCCCAGGTGTCTTGGTTAGGTGCGGTTGTAGGTTACCTGGCTAACTCACGTCATTAGCGGGCGAGGTCAAGTCCCTAGGGTCGACCTGAGGTGTGTCAACCCGGAATGTGGTGGTACCACGAGGTCTGTAGTGTCCTTGCTGTTATATGTGACATAATTCTGGGCTGTAAGCTTTGGTCTGATAATCAATCATTACACCAATATCTTATAATAATCCCGGAGGTAAATTTTGCCAAGGTTTATCCTTCTACCTATAGCCTTCCTTTGGCCAATGATGTTGTTTAAATAATTATTTATCCATTTAGGGTCATTGTTGTCTGATCTGAGTTCTTTGTATGGTATGTTCTGCCTTTGTGCATTAAGTAACTCAATATTTAAATTGTCGTGGAACTCGGCAATCTCAGATCTCGTTATCAGGTCGGAGTCATTTGTCAGGTTCACTGCTAAGCACGACACCCCCTCTCTCAGCTGCCTCTTTAAACTGTCAAAGTTTGCCCTTCTGAAATCTGGTACTTCAGTGGAATTTTCCTTACGTCTGCCCTGAAAATCCAACTGGAATCTAATTTCTTTGTGATCGCTGTTTGCAAGTTCGTTCCCTACCTCTACATTGCTAATGAGGTTTTCTCTGTTCGACAGAACTAAATCGAGTATATTATTACCCCGGGTGGGTTCGGTTATATGTTGACTTAGGAAACAGCCCTGGATCGTCTCGAGGAAATCCTCTGATACTGAGTTACCCATAAGGTCAGTCCAATCTATTTGGCCAAGGTTAAAGTCGCCTACTATATAGACTTTGTTGTGTATGGAAGCCCTGCGCATTTCATCCCAGATAAGTCGCTCATTGACTCTAACAAGATTGGGAAGTCTATATATTACTCCTGTGATTAATTTTTCCCTACCACCCTACACACACATACACACACACACTGTTAAATAAAGGTACAATTATTGCCAGATTTCTGTAATGGTTTATGTGCATTCATTATATTTCTACAGTGCAATAGATCTTGAGAGGATTCTTGATGGTGTTCATTATTATGTTGCCACCATTACTGACTAATGAGCCACTTAGATAATTAATCTGTTATATCCTAAACTGTTTCTACAGACTCGGACATTGTGACACAGTCCCCACCTCCTGCCTGTGAGCCGCCATATGATCACTACATCAGATACAACAGTGCGTGTTACAGGCCGGACAGTAACTCCAAGACATGGCAGGTGAGAGACCATTAGAGCAGTGGTGTACAGTTGTTCACAAAAGTCCCGTCGCTTCTCTTGTTGTTCCACGAACCCCGAGATTCAGACTTGTGAGCCTGAATCAGTAAAATTTGATGTATTATTCTGTCCATAAATGCTTCGGATTTACAAGTCTGAATCTCGGGCTTCGTGCCTTCGTGGTTCAGGAGAGACATAAGAACACAAGAACATAAGAAACTAAGGAGTCTGCAATAGGCCGGTTGGCCTGTGCATGGCAGCTCCTGTCGAGAGTTACTACCACTCTCTATCATCCATGAATCTATCTAGCCTCCTTTTGAAACTTTCCAGAGTTCCAGCACTTACTACAAAGTTGCTAAGCTTGTTCCACTCGTCCACCACCCTATTTGTGAACCAGTTTCTTCCTATCTCCCTCCTAAACCTAAACTTATCCAACTTGAATCCGTTGCTCCGAGTCCTATCCTGCTCGGATATTATAAGAACTTTATCTATATCCCCTTTATTGATTCCTTTCACCCACTTAAATACTTCTATCATATCTCCCCGCACTCTTCGTCTTTCTAGGGAATGCAAGTTAAGTTTCTTTAACCTATCCTGATATGGAAGGTTTCTAAGTCCCGGAATCATTTTTGTCATTCTTCGCTGCACCGACTCTAGTGAATTTATATCCATTCTATAATAGGGGCACCAGAACTGAACCGCATAATCGAGGTGCGGCCTAACTAGCGCAAGATATAGTTGCAATAAGACCTCTGCACTCTTGTTACTTACACTTCTAGATATAAAACCCAATACTCTGTTTGCCTTATTTCGAACATTAACGCACTGTTTTCTAGGCCGTAGGTCCGGGCTTACAAGTACAAGAGACGATAGGACTTTTGTGGGTGACTCTACAAAAACATGGATACCATGAGCAAGTGGGTACGGAAATAAACACCGACTTTTCAAAATTCTGCAATGGATCCTAAGCAATGGTGGTGTAGGGACCTTCATCATGTTAGCTGTATATAAATGCCTCTTGCCCGTCCTTAGGATAAACTAGGTAGTTGAAGACAGCCTTTGGACATTCTCGATCAGGTGACAGTCGTTTATACAGTATACCTCGAGGACCAGACAGAATGACAGTACTTCACGTTGGTGAGCACCACGTAACAGCGAGCCTTATGATCCGAGAACTTGAGTTCATTGTCAACCTGAACACGCAGGTCCTTTTCACAATTGGTTTTAGTTCACAATGCTTCCTGGGTTCTTCATTCTGTTGGTACATGTTATATGCCTCTTGACTATATTACTCTAGTATGGCCTAGGTGCACACTCTTGTCTTTCATAATGCTCATTCTCAACATCCATTCCTTTTTGACCACTCGTGAAGCCAAGAGTGTTACAGTAAAAAGCTTTGATCATATTAAAAATATGTTCAGATGAGGCCCTTTTTTTTTTTTTTACGGGAATTAGCCCACCCGGGCACAGGTCAAACGACCCACAACGGAGCCTGGGGGGCGAGAAAAAAAAAGAGCGGAAAGAAATTGTAAATATAGAAAAAAAAGGTTATATTGTATTAATCTACACCACGAAGATAACGGAAAACCAGCTTTTTAAAGTGAGACAGATTGTAAGAGCATGGAAACACAGAAGAAGGCAGAGCATTCCACAGTTTGGCTGTGTGAGGAAAGAAGGAGGTACTATAACGGGTTATTCTCGTGTGACCGACATCCACAGAGAAACGGTGGGCACAGCGGGCAAGACGTGTGTTACGAACCCACGGCCTTGCCGGCGGTACACAGGATGCCAAATCCACCGAACATTGCCCGTTAAAGTACCTGTAAAAGAGAGAGAGTGAAGCAACATTGCGGCGAAGAGAAAGGGAAGAGAGATTGTCGACTAAAGGAGGAGAGTTAATAAGACGAAAATGCCTTTGATTCCACCCTATCTAATAGTTGGACAGAAGAAGAGCCACCCCAGATATGAGAGCAGTACTCCAAGTTAGGACGAATGAATCCCTTATATACTTGGAGCAACTGCTCAGGAGTGAAGTAGCTACGGCATCTGTACAGCATTCCCAACTTTCGGGAGGCAGCTTTAGTTATACTAGGGATGTGTGATTTCCTGGACATATTGGAGGAAATGGTGAGGCCTAACATATACGGTACAGTGCTAGAAAAAATGTACGGTATATGTATCTAAATGTAGTACAGTAATTGGAAACTAGAATTAAAATTTATGAATACAATTCTTATAAATTTTTGAAAGTTTAGAATGTGTTTTAAAAATTTAAGATCTGAGATTAAATTTTTTAACATAGGGTATGAATATATATATATATATATATATATATATATATATATATATATATATATATATATATATATATATATATATATATATATATATATATATATATATATATATATATATATATATATATATTCAATAGACATTTAGTGGAAGATAACCCTATTTTTTCCCTCAGGAAGCAGAGACATTATGTGCTGGAGAGGGGGCTCACTTAGTATCTGCTCTTGACATGGGTGAGAGTGCCATGCTGTGGGTGCTGTTACAGGAGAGTGGCTTCACAGATGCTTGGATAGGACTGAATAACCTGCAGGTGGGAAAAAGACTTCAAGCTATAATATTGTATTTTCATTATAATTTCCTCTGCAAACCTCAAATATTCACCTCACACCTCACCTCACCTCACACCTCACCTCAATGTATGCATATTCTTTCCATTGCAGGATGTGCATATATTTAAATGGTCTGATGACTGGCCAACAACATATACCAACTGGGATATAGGTCAACCTAATGTTAGTTTCAGTAACCATAACTGCACCAGAGTCAGCTCTACCAATGGCAACTGGTTCACGGCGTCGTGTAATGAGTCCAGCCCATTCATCTGTAAATTTAAAAATGGTAAGTAGGAAGGTCTTGTGGAGTGTATGAGCTACTTTGTGTTCAGGAGGTCAGTATTGATGCTGCAATGTGTTTTTTGTCTTTGTAGTACTGTATTGTGTCACTTTAGGTCTATATTTTGATAGTGTTAGTATGGTGTCAATTACAGTACAGTGTATCACTATATCACTAGTAATAAAGTAGTGATGTCAGTATACAGTGAAACCTCCAAGTAATGGTCTTGTCTCTCATGATCCGATAGATGGGGGTTTCACATCTAATGGTCCCTCGATATAAAGGACTTTCATATCTTTATAGTTCGTAAGATGTAAGTTTCTCTTGTAAAAGACCCTTGATATAAAAAAAATTCTCTTCATATAGTCCATTAAATAGAGGCTTCACTGTAGAATCTAAACAGCAGTTACAATTTGACTTGAACATTTTAAACTGTTGATGTGCTTCTGATCAACCTTCAGGAACAGTGCCAACACCTGACCCACCAATTACCGGAAAATGCCCTGACAGTCGATGGCTTGACCTTGGGGGTAGCTATTGTTACCTCATCTCTGACCAAAAGAAGCCCTGGAATGATGCTAGTATGAAGTAGGTGAATGTTGTAATGCACTGGACAGACTTCCACCCCTCACTCATATAGCATGACTGTCATTGACTGTCAACATAAAGCATGATTGTCATTAACTGTCAACATAAAGCATGACTGTTATTAACTGCCAACATAAAGCATGACTCATTAGCTGTCAACAGAAAGCATGACTCTTATTAACTGTCAACATAAAGCATGACTCATTAACTGCCACTATAAAGCATGACTCATTAACTGTCAACAGAAAGCATGACTCATTAACTGCCACTATAAATCATGACTCATTAACTGTCAACATAACGCATGACTCATTAACTGTCAACAGAAAGCATGACTGTTATTAACTGTCAACAGAAAGCACGACTGTTATTAACTGTCAACAGAATGCATGACTGTTATTAACTGTCAACATAAAGCATGACTCATTAACTGCCACTATAAAGCATGACTCATTGACTGTCAACATAAAGCATGACCCATTAACTGTCAACAAAAAGCATGACTCATTAACTGCCACTATAAAGCATGACTCATTAACTGTCAACAGAAAGTATGACTCATTAACTGCCACTATAAAGCATGACTCATTAACTGTCAACAGAAAGCATGACTCATTAACTGTCAACATAAAGCATGACTCATTAACTGCCACTATAAAGCATGACTCATTAACTGTCAAAATAAAGCATGACTCATTAACTGTCAACAGAAAGCATGACTCATTAACTGCCACTATAAAGCATGACTCATTAACTGTCAACGTAAAGCATGACTCAATAACTGTCAACAGAAAGCATGACTCATTAACTGCCACTATAAAGCATGACTCATTAACTGTCAACGTAAAGCATGACTCAATAACTGTCAACAGAAAGCATGACTCATTAACTGCCACTATAAAGCATGACTCATTAACTATCAACAGAAAGCATGACTCATTAACTGTCAACATAAAGCAGGACTCATTAACTGCCACAATAAAGCATGACTCATTAACTGTCAACATAAAGCATGACTCATTAACTGTCAACAGAAAGCATGACTCATTAACTGCCACTATAAAGCATGACTCATTAACTATCAACAGAAAGCATGATTGTTATTAACTGTCAACATAAAGCATGACTCATTAACTGTCAACATAAAGTATGACTATTATTAACTGTCAACATAAAGCATGCCTCATTAACTGCCACTATAAAGCATGACTCATTAACTGTCAACATAATGCATGACTCATTAACTGCCACTATAAAGCATGACTCATTAACTGTCAACGTAAAGCATGACTCATTAACTGTCAACATAAAGCATGACTCATTAACTGCCACTATAAAACATGACTCATTAATTGTCAACATAAATCATGACTGTTATTAACTGTCAACATAAAGCATGACTCACTAACTGTCATCATAAGGTATGACTCAATAACTGCCACTATAAAGCATGACTCATTAACTGTCAACAGAAACCATGACTCATTAACTGCCACTGTAAAGCATGACTCATTAACTGCCAACAGAAAGCATGACTGTTATTAACTGTCAACATAAAGCATGACTCATTAACTGTCAACAGAAAGCATGACTGTTCTTAACTGCCACTATAAAGCATGACTCATTAACTGTCAACAGAAAGCATGACTGTTATTAACTGTCAACAGAAACCATGACTCATAAATTGCCACTATAAAGCATGACTCATTAACTGTTAACGTAAAGCATGACTCAATAACTGTCAACAGAAAGCATGACTCAATAACTGCCACTATAAAGCATGAGTCATTAACTATCAACAGAAAACATGATTGTTATTAACTGTCAACATAAAGCATGAATTCATCAACTGTCAACATAAAGCATGACTTATTAACTGTCAACATAAAGTATGACTCATTAACTACCACTATAAAGCATGACTCATTAACTGTCAACATAAAGCATGACTGTTATTAACTGTCAACATAAAGCATGACTCATTAACTGCCACTTTAAAGCATAACTCATTAACTGTCATCATAAAGCATGACTCATTAACTGCCACTATAAAGCATGACTCATTAACTGTCAACAGAAAGCACGACTCATTAACTGCCAGCAGAAAGCATGACTGTTATTAACTGTCAACATAAAGCATGACTCATTGACTGTCAACAGAAAGCATGCCTGTTATTAACTGCCACTATAAGGCATGACTCATTAACTGTCAACAGAAAGCATGGCTGTTATTAACTGTCAACATAAAGCATGACTCATTAACTGCCAATATAAAGCATGACTCATTAACTGTCAACGTAAAGCATGACTCAATAACTGTCATCAGAAAGCATGACTCATTAACTGCCACTATAAAGCATGACTCATTAACTATCAACAGAAAGCATGACTGTTATTAACTGTCAACATAAAGCATGACTCATTAACTGTCAACATAAAGCATGACTGTCATTAACTGTCAACATAAAGCATGACTCATTAACTGTCAACAGAAAGCATGACTGTCATTAACTGTCAACATCCCTAACTTTTCTGCCTCATACTTTAACAGTGTACATGACTTACTTTGGTTTGATCTGTTGCCACAACACTGTACAAGAAACATTTAGTGAAGTCCTGTTAACTCTCTCACATGACTGCTTCCCCAGCCCATTGCTAACTTGTTTCTGTCTTTATACTTTTAAGAAATTTTATAGTGAAAATAATTCTGCAAAGTTATTCTTTAATTATAGCTCAAACTTAACACTGGTAAGTGTAAACACATACAGTAAGTCTGCAGGTCAATCGGACAAAATACTGTAACGTATTATCCATTACTCTTCTGTGCAGCTGTGTTCAAGAGAGTGCCAACTTGGTATCAATTCACTCAGAGGCAGAAATGGAGCTCATCAACATGGCCATTAACAGTATCAGAGATACACTGTGGATTGGTCTTGTGCAAAAAAAAAGTGGTAAGTATTGTTTTAGGACACAGTGAAGTACAGGGTATAATGTAGTTGAATTAATTCCCGAGGTCTTCCATAGGCTAGTAAGCTGCTGAATGGCAAAAAAAAAAAAAATAATAATAATTCTCTACCATGCACAAAGGTTTTAAATGATAGTCTATGTTTGTCTTTGATACCCCCAAAATGTTCTACACTACTGAGGGTATACACAAACACTTGTTATCTTGAGAATAGGTTCTTATTCTCGTACGGGAGATATACAGAGGAACAATAGACAGTTGGCTTCCACACCATAAGGACTAGCGATCTCCACTCTCTGTATCACTCCGCGCTGGCATGTACAGATGCCAGCATTCACAAGCTGAATACATAATATGTAAATATGATAATTTACATACATAACATGGTGCATAATAAATGGAAATATTACATAGGATTAATACATGTTCTGTAATACTTTACTAAACATAATTAATAGAGTAATATAAGAACACACAGCTTAAGGTACTACTTCATGTCCATATTATACAGATAGGTGTATGTTATTCAACCCCACACACTAATGTACTGCACATATTGAACACTAAGATATACACAGCTAAAATACTATATACTGTCTATTCATAATAATCTGATTATTAATTTTCTGACTCATTTCTTCATAAGGTTATGGATGGAGTGATCATTCTGCCTTCAATTTTGTCAACTGGTGTGATGGGGAGCCTAACAGTAATGACGAAGACTGTACAGAGATGTATGCCAACAGTGGGCAATGGAATGATGCTGACTGCTCTAATGCTCGAAACTTCATGTGCAAAACTTTAAAAAGTAAACTCTGTCGTCTTATATATCCTTTAATATAGTTCAGTCCTATTTTGTGATATATATTTTACAGTCACCTACAAAAGTCGTCTTTCCCATTGAACCACGAACCCCAAGCTTCAGACTCGTGAACCCGAAGCAGTAGACTTGATTCATTATTATATCCATAAATGCTTTGGATTCATGAGTCAGTATCTTAGGGTTCGTGGTTCAGGAGGAGAAGCGAACTGACTAAGGTATTTTAATGGGTAAACTAAAGACTGCCTCTGACAATATTTTTTTAATGGTTTACTTCAGTTCACCAATCGGCCTCCACCAACCCTCCTCCCATTACTATGCCTGCGACTACTCACCATCCTTCAGGGTGTAAGTAATCATTGTTCATTTCTTTCTCGTTTAGCTGTTATATTTTGCTCCCGGAGTGTTGGGTTGTTTTTTCTCGCCCCATCTGTTATCTTCTCAATTTTCTTTTAAGGTTTATTATGCAATATTCATTCGAGATTATTTTTCAGTGAACATGGTGTAAGTTATATCATGATCAGACTGTCATGTACACTTTCTCAAAATATTATCTGGAAGAAATTGTCTTGAGAAACTATAACGTAACAGAAAGTATTTTGACAACCTTCTGAGACAACAGGAGTCGCAGTGTTCATTCTGAAATTCATCGCCCACCCCAAGTACAGATAGTTTTTGAGTGACTGTACACTGAATGGTTTTGTAGTGATAAGAAGTGACCAAAAGATGACATGGATTATTGTCATATAACATAATAGGCTTCGCTGACACAGTATATATATATATATATATATATATATATATATTGTTATGCCGTCTCTTAATTTACTTTATTAACCAGGTTCTAGGCATAACCAAGCAACAAGAAAGTGAAGTAAATCAAAAGGGAATAAAAATAAATAAAGTAAACCTTTAAGAATTAAATTAAATTAAATATTAACACAATAAAGAGCCTCGTAGGCTGTCACAACAAATTGATTCACTATCGAAACCTTTAAGACACAAATGATACTAAACATCGAAACATCAAAGAACTGCTTAAATATATAGAATAAAAATAAAGCACTGGATTATGTTAACACTACATAAACATATAAAATAACTAACACTTAAATTAACTAACGTGAAACAACACTGAATTACTTAAATGTAACTAAGCAAGCACTGATGGACACATAAGAGACATAAATAGGTACTCACATAGATATACCACATTGGTGGTGCCAGGAACAACACAGAAATAAAATGTAGTATAAATAACAGGTGACAGGTGTCACTCAAAACAACGTGAACTGAATGACAAGGAGGACTGGACTAAACTCCGTCTGCTGGTGGGTCCTATATATAAGGTCGGCTCAAGCCACTCAGTTGAAACATGGGTCGTTAGAGAAATAAAGAATGCTTGTTACAATATTAAATAAAGAAATAGATGGGCTTGAACAAATAATAACAGTTTAAAGCTTAACAGCACAGGGTAAGGTGACTTGATTATATAATAGTAAATATAACACATCATTACAGGAATAATATGGAATAACATGGAAGCATGTTATACAAAAGAAAAAGAAAAATAGGACACATTCGTAACACTCCCCCTCATAAAATAAAATTTTGCTTGCACAAATTTTCATATGACACAAGTGTTCATTCTGTGGGTTTAGATAACAGATCACTAGCATCACAGGCTAGCTTGAAAGGCTTAGAAAAATTTGGGACTCTCAAAATAGGATATGAGCATAATACATTTTCCAAATTTTGAAAAGAATCCTGACACCTTGAAGTCCAACAAAAATATATTACCCTTCTTCAACAAATCAGTAAGGGGTAGTGCCAACTCGGCAAAATTACAAATATATCTGTGGTAATAACCCACACAACCCAAAAATCTACGGACTTGTCGTTTGTTACATGGACCAGGCATCTGAGAAATAGTGTCACACCTTGCTGTGGGAGGAGCAAGTTTCCAACCCAATTACATGTCTCAGTTACAAAAGTTGAGCACAAACAAATTCTGACTTAGCAAAGTTTATAACAAGTCCTACATCTTCTAACTCAGTGAAGAGAGCGTCTAGCTGACATAAATAGTCTGACCAAGTGTCAGAAAAAATTCCAACATCATCTGAATATACTACACAACCAGGCCAATTGGCCGTGACTTGTGACATCAGCCGTTGAAAGGTAGCAGGGGCATTGCAAAGCCCGAAAGGCATAACATAAAATTTATAGGTCTTACCTAATGTCACAAAACTGGAGATGTCTTTAACACGACGGGTCAATGGTACTTGCCAAAACCCTCGAAGGCAATCAATCTTAGAGAGGAACTTGGCGTTCCCGATTGCTTCGATGCAGTCGTCGACTCTTGGTAGAGGGAAGCTGTCCTTGCTGGTGTAGGCGTTGACCTTGTGGAAGTCGATGCAGAATCGAAGAGTGCCGTCCTTCTTCGGTACTAGGGTGACTGGTGAGCACCACTCGCTGGTAGGGAGTCTGCTTGATAGGCTTAACAGAACCAACATCAATATCATGCACCACGGCAGTGGTACAGCCAGGCCTGTCTTGGAAGACAAGAGGATGTTGTTGGATGGCGGCCATCACGTCAGCTCTCTGGTGTCCCGGCAGACGCTGTAGCTTCTCCTGTAACTCCACTGAGTTGGACTGCCAAACCCTGACTGATGACAGGGCGAGTGGACTTGCCCCTTCTTTTTCCTCTTCTTTCTCACCGTCTACCAAGAAAGTGTCAACGGCACACACGGGAACTGGATCATCAGCAACAAATGGGGGTGCTGGGCGTGTGTGGTACAGCTTGACGATGTTGACGTGACAAAAGCGCTGTAGTCGGCGCCTGTCAGGGGTAGAGATAATATAATTCGTGGGGCTTGCCTTCTTCACCACTCTATATGGCCCACTGAACTTCGCATGGAGCGGCTGTCCATGTCTCGGCAAGAGAATGTGTACTTGATCTCCTATTTGGAACTCTGTGTCTGGCACACTTGTCGTACCATGTCTTGGTCTTGGATTGCTATAAGTGGTCTGCGGCAAGGCTCCAACAACTTAGAAACTTCTCTCTAACATCTCCTACCAAACTTAATACATTAATGCTCTCTTCACTATTACCTAACAATCTATCTCTAACTATGTGCAAAGGACCTCTTACTTGATGAGCGAACAGTAGAAGTATGAGAAACAAAATGGATGATATTAGGGCCTTAGCAGTAACTTTCCTAAGAGGTGCAGCATGCAAGTACCTAGTGGAGGTATCAATGACTGTAACTAAATATTCAAACCCACTAGAAGTTTTAGGCAGAGGGCCTACAATGTCACACTGTACTGTTTTAAGGGCTCAGGTACGTGAGGTACTCTTACAAGTGGAAAAGGTGGAATAGCCTAATTGGCTTTGCCTACCTCTTGACAAAAATGACAGTACTTACAATATTTAGTGACATCTCTCCTCATACATGGCCAATAGAACTTTCTGGCCAGCCTGTTGAACGTCTTTCGGACACCTTGATGTGCAGAAAAGCGACCGTCATGGGCCAGAGCTAGAACATGTTGTCTGTAAGTGTGTGGGATAACTATTTGAGTGGCAGACGCCCAGTCCGCGTCTTCCTCTGATAAAGTCGGTGGGAGCCAGCGGCGGCACAAAACACCGTCTTGACTGAAATATCTCGTGGTAGGGCCTGAATCATTGGCCGAATCGGACACCTGGTCAAACAAGAGCCGTAATGAATCGTCTTGCTCTTGCGCGGCTATTAAAGCAACTCTCCCGGTCACAGCATTAACTGCGGAAGAAATGTCTTGGGAAGCAATTGGGTTAGCAAAAAGTCCTTCTAAAGAAAGTGAATCATCTACAACAGGAGTTACATTATGATCATTAGTCATTGACATAGAAAGAGTCACAGCACACAAAGGGAAAACACCGGGCATATCATCTTCAAGTTGTTGCAGCTCTGCGGTAGACTTTGGTCTTTCCCGCAGCACAGGAGGTGGGGTTACGTTCCCCATTTGACCTCTCGCCAAATCGTTACCGAGTATGAGGTCCACCCCAGCAACAGGCAGCTGGTGCACGCAGACTACGTTAGCTATCCCTGAAAAACAAGAAGACTTGACACGTACTAAAACCAAAGGAGCTACACCTTGACCCCAAAGGGATCGCAAAACGACGTATTTGTCAGTCTTCCTCGCCTCAACAACACCCTCTTTGATGAGAGTTTAGAGAGAACCCGAGTCTCTCAAAATAGTGAATGGTGTTTCGACACCATCAACTTCTACCGTGCCTTGTGACAAAAAAGGACGAAAGGTACCAACGTCTGGGTCCTTCGCAAAACTCTCCTGGAAAAGATCAAAGTCTCGTGAGGCGAGAACCGAAACTGCACTCTCTCGTACTTCACCTTTTGTGAAAACCAACCCAATTGGTATGCTGTCAGCCTTACTCAAACCAGCCATCACTCCGACTGGTGACGTATTAGTCTCTTCAGTAATAATCATAGCTGGTTTGCCCGTATTTAGCTGCAGCCTTGTCCAACAAAACTCTGCCTTATGACCTGGCTTTCCACAGTAACTACAAGGGTATGTAGAAAATTTGGACGCCACATTAGATGGTGAACGCGTCCAGCTCCTCCTGTCACGCTCAAAATTACTATTGGTAGTAGTCCCTTGTCTCGCTCTGTGGAGAGAGGGATTAAAAGTCCTTTGAACCTGTGGGGGCATAACATTTTTGTTAGTCCTACCATGCCTTAAAACAAATCCATCAGCATGCTTAGCAGCTTCTTCAATGGTACTAAATTCCCTATCTAACAAGTATAAGATAACCTCTTCGTCGATGGTTCTCAAAAATTCCTCTGTGAGCATTAACTCAATCAGGGAGTCAAAATCACTCACTTCCTTGGAGTGTAACCACTTTGAGAATACCTCTTTTACCCCTAGCAAATTCAAGGTGGGTCTGCTCTGCCTTATTACGGAGGCCACGAAAGCGTTGTCTGTACGCTTCAGGAACAAGGGCATAAGCCTTTAAAACTTCCTCCTTAATACATAAATAATCCTTAGCGTCACTGTCTGTAAGAGACGAAAAAACACACAAGGCCTTACCTGTAAACGCCTGCTGAAGCAAAATGGGCCAAAACTCTATAGGCCACTTTAAAGTGGTAGCAAGTCTCTCGAAAGCAATGAAAAACTCATCAACTGTTTCCTCTGAAAACGTGGGCATTAGCCTAGCAGCACGTGCTGGATCGAAATGAGAAAAACTAGATCTGGGGGTGAGGCCATCGGTGTCAGAAGGGTTACTCTGACCGAGCTGTATACGCACTTACGCAGTCGCACGTTTTCTGAATCTACTTCTTTCGCTTTAGCCTCAG